TTTAATAATTATATTTTTCTCTAATAATAAGTCTAATAATAATTCTCTCTAATAATAATTCTTTAATTTTTCTCTAATAATAAGTCTTTGAATAATTATATCTCTTGCATAAGAATATCTTTCCAAATTTTTGCCTCCCGAGAAGATATTTTTTTAATAACAATTTTTAAAACAAGAAAATAAAAAATATATTCATGCTTAATCTTATTTAATTATTTAATGGAAAAAGATAATTAATTAACATTTGTTTAATGTACATATATACTCAACACTTAATTAATAAAACAATTATAATATATTATAAAAAAATCACATATATTAACGATAATTTATTAATTATTATTATTAAGATTTATTTATTATTTATCTTTAAAATAAAAATCTCTAAGGTATAAAAATACGTAAAGAGACAAAGCTACTTTCTTTAATTGATTATTGAATTTGTAATATATCCGCTGAAAAGTGAAACAGTATTGTGCTTAATGATATAGCAGAAAGGTCGACATGGAAAATAAATAGTAACGGCCAGGACTTCATCATAACTTCAAATTCTAAAAAATATAAATGTTGAATATTAATTATATGTTTGAATTAAAATTAATAAACATTTGATAAAAGCAACAATACTTGGTATTTTCATATTATATTGAAAAAATATATATCAAGTCGAGATTATGAAATCTTTTTATTATATTGTGAGAACTATTTTGCCATTAGCAAGACTAAATGATTTCCTTTTCTTGTTGTAGGCAATGTATAATCTTATATGTTATTTGTATATACGTGCATATGTATGTACTACAAAAGCATATGTATATGAGTGTAAAATCAAGTTTAGCAATTAGTTCACGCATTCTAAATAAACTGTGATAGCCTACTTTTGCTTGATATCTAGATTTTTGGCTCGATTACGTGACCTTCGAATAGAGCCACGTTTGACGAGTTGTATTTAATATAATAGTGGAACGGCCGATTTACGTCAAAAACTGGTGTTATCACCAACATAGCTGGCATGATTTGCGCAACTGCAAATATAATATAATAAATTATTAACTTTGATATACTTGTCTTAGAAATTTTCTCATCGGATCTTTTTCGCTTGTGCACAACATAAATGTATGCTTTGCTTGCATGCCATTTTTAATTCTTCATTATAATATAATCTGTTGCTAATAATAATAATAACTTTATTGAGTTCAACAAAATGCATGGTACACATAAAATTAGGAATAATTATGTAATGGAGGAGAAAAGCGCAACAAAAAATAAGGCGGTAGGAAATCTACTGTGTTTCTGTAAGACTTATTCAAAATAAAAAAAAATCACAATTCGAAATACTTCCAATTTTCCGAAATGTTGAATTCATTTTTATAATAGAGCCTATATGTACTTAAAAATCAATATGGTAATCTTTTTTATATCAACAACACTTAATATATTTCCGGTATAATTACGTGGCCTTCGAACAAAGATACGTTCGATGACTGATATCGAATTTGATAAAAGAACGGTCGATTTATGTTGAATATTAATAATTGATTTTGTATTAAAACACTAGCAAATGCTCATGTCACAGCTGGAAAAAAAAAATCATTCATTATTTGAGTATATATATATATACACATTACATTCATTATAACGGTGGAACTTCGGCCATATCTTTGTCGTGTGAACATGTCAGAAGTGCAATAGATTTTACTCTACAAACGCTATAATATAATAACTTATAAATAATGCATAATATTGTCTAAAAATTTCAGATCAATAACTTTTTGTAGAGTAAAATCTATTGCACTTCTGACATGTTCACACGAACAAAGATATGGCCGAAGTTCCACCGTTATAATGAATGTAATAATAGAATGGTTGATTTATGTCATATGATATATTGTCAAATATTAGTGATTCGTTTACGAAGATAAAGCTGGCAAAATTTTCACAACTGTAAACATATATAAAAAGTTGTTTGTTATAATTAACTTGATCGTTTTGAAGTTTCTCTACACCTATATCATAAATTTTTATCTATTATGAACATATGTTTTGTGGAACTTTTAAATTTAAAGACATTGTTGTTATACATAAAAGATGATATAAAACATAAATATACAAATATGCATGTGTTATTCACTATTATTATTATTATCATTATCATTATTATTATTATTATTATTATTATTATTATTATTATTATTATTATTATTATTATTATTATTATTATTATTATTATTATCATCATCATCATCATCATCATATCATCATCATCATCATTATTATTATTATTATTATTATTATTATTATTATTATTATTATTAATATAATTATTTGACAGACAAATAGGAAATGTTATTATAATTATAGATATCATAATGATTTTTTTCTCGTTCATATAATTTCTCGAAAATTTAGAATTTAAAATTACATTTTATTTACAATTAGATTAAACCAGCACCCTTTTATATTTAATAATACTTTATATTTAAATCAAGATATACACAATAAAAGAATACACTTTTCATTTAATATCGACAAGAGATTTTCTGAGATTCCTAATAAACAGATATAACGCACATTAAATGCTACATTTTTAGATAAAATGTTTTTTAAAACAATAGTTATTATATTTCTGGTATGTTTACACGACCATTAAACAAGGATACAAACGATGTCTCCTTCTTATAACCAATGTAAAAATAGAATGGTCGATTTACGTCGAATATTAATGGTTCGATAAAAATAGAGCTCCCAAATCCATAGATTACTGTGAACAAAATATGAAACATTTGTTATATTAATCAAAAATATAAAATTTTAAAATTTCATGGTTAAATCGAACTTTCTCTCTCTAAATTACATTTATGTAAATAAAAATATATAGTAAGAGCAAGTAAAATATATTTGTCGGCTAACATAAAAAAATTTAGAATTTGTTAATAAATACTATAATGCACATTAAATTATAGTATTAATATTAATATTAATATTGTATTAAATATTAAATTTCGAGATAAAATATTTGTCTTTTTTAGAATAATGGATGTTGTGTTTTTGGCACGTTTACACGAATAGAAATTTGAACGATATCTCCTTATCATCCAATTGTTGAATAGAAATTCGAACGATATTTCTGTGTTATGACAAATAAAATAATAGAACAATATACATCAAATGTCAATAATTAATTTAAAATGACCGTTACAGCTTTCATAAGTGTGAAATAAAGTCATTATAAGTTCATATGATATTAAGTACGTTCAAATAAAATATACTGAGACTTTCGTGAAACAACGATTTTAATCTATCAGTTTTCAGTTGAATGTATCTAATATGTGTATATTTTATGAAAATATCAATATTGAAATAACTATTGCAACTATTTAATCATAATACTTGATATAGTACATATATATAATATATATATATATATATGCGTACGTGTATGTGTGTATTATTTGCAGATAAATATGTTATTCAATAAACATGTAAGAAGTGTTACATATACTATAGACATACTACACTACAATCATGCAAATATTATATGTCTATAGTTTTTTTAATTCATGTAATTTTTCGAAAAGATTAAAAATCATGTTCATAATTAAATCGAAAAATATTTAAGGTACAGTAAAAGCAAAAAGGATACTTGCCAGCTAACACCAAGGAAAAATTATAAATTTGAAGCTGATAAGATTTGCTAATAAATACTACAATGTATATTAAGTGCTAAACTTTTACATAAATAGTACTTCTCTAGAATAATAGCTATATTATATTTTTGATACATCTTTCAAATAAAAAAACGAACAATATTCTCTTTTTATAACGAATATAATAATAGAATGGTTGATTTATATCAAATACTAAAGATTTCTTGATTTTTGTAAGACTGCTCAACACAAGTCTGCGAACTGTAAAAAATTGCTTCTTACATAATCATTTGATTAATTAAGTCTTTTATTTTCTATATTATAAACACACACTTTGTTGAACTGCTTCGAAATGAAATAAATTTCTATCTTAAATTTCTATTTCTTCTTTAGGCTCTCCACCTTCTGCTTTAGCAGAAAATTTGCAGCTTTCTTTCAGTATACAAATAAGAGTTATGATATTTTGACACCTTAGAAACAATATATTTTCTTAAGAAATCTATCTCAACAATATAGTTCTTAAGGAAAGTCATCAAGCATCATTTTATATAATAAAAATATATATAAAATTTCTTTTTACAAAAAAAATTTATTTTTCTATTTTCTCAATTTTATTTTTTCACGTTAAATAATTGTAAAAATGTACAGAATGCGCCACGAAGAAACTGTTGATTTTTGCATTTATAATATTTTTCATATAATATACATAATAATAAAAATCTTAAATAAACGAGTGGAAAAAGTAAAACTCTTTTGCATCTCCACCTCCAAAAGTACCTAACCAAATTCAATCTAAAATTTTCAGTCTAAAATTTTCAGTATAGCTTTGTGCTCTTTTTTATGTTCTTATCTATATATAACAACGTTATATATATAATAATACATTATCAAAATATTTACAAAAATAAATCAAAATATTTACAAAATAAATAAATATTTACAAAATCAAAATAAATAAATAAAGGTAGGATTAGGTTGTGTTAAATTTTTGGGTAAGAAATGCAAAGATAGGAGCAAACCCCTTCCTCGCCAATATATTTATTTTTTAGGTACGCACAATGTAATATTAAATGATTATCAGCTCATCAATCAGTTCCATAATGTGTCAATGCAGAATAATACGGAACTAATAGGTTCTCCAGTTTTAAAGTGTTATAATATAACTTTATATTATAACTTTTAAAGTATTATAATTCTTTTTACGAAAGAAACACTGCAAATTTTGAGCCAAATCAAGACAGATAATTTACTTTAAATGGTTTAACTTATTATCGATTATCCTATCACAAATGTTTGTCAAGCTGTATAATTATACAACAAATAGTTTGACATAAAAATATACAAACATGCATATATTTAAACATTCATTATCAAATATCATTTAACAAACGAATAAAAAGCATTACATTATTATGATTACAAAATATCACAATGTTTGTAATTTTTTCAAGCTTATGTGATTTTGGAAAAATTTGAGACTTGGAAATCATATTATCATAATTCGATAAATAACGATGACTAACTCGCTAAGAATGTCTAGTTAATACAAGACTAATCACAATAAAAATTATAAATATTATATAGTAATGTGACCAGTCTAAAATTTTAAGATTATCTTAAATAATATTTATTACATTTTCTTATGGCACATTTATATGGCCGCCGAATAAAAATATGGCTGATGTTCCCTCATTATGATAAATACATATAAGATAGAACAGCTAATCTAATCTATGTCATATGTCCATAGATCTATGTGTGTGATTTCTATCCAAACACTTTCAGCAATTAATAATTTAGTAAACTAAAATATCTTATTATGGGGAGGTGGGAAGACATTCGCTTAAGCATTCAAGATTTCTTTCACCTATGTCATGAATATGTTTTGTCATCATCTTGAACTTGAGTTCGATTTTTTTATTTCTTATCTATTTTTATAGTAACTGTTTACATAACCCTCGAATAAAGATGTGAAAAACGATGTATCGTTATAATGAATATAATGATGAAATAGTCAATTTACGTCAAACACTAATTGATGTATAAAAATGATTATATAATTGTATGATTTCTATCCACGTGCTTTCAAAAGCAATTTCGATAATTGTGGACAAAGTGTACATAGACACTAATTTATATATTCATCTGATTATTTTCAAAAGTTTTTTCTTCCATATGTTATATAAGCGATATATGTTGACACCACTTTGAGTTCAATATTTATCTTATCAATTAGTTTAACCAAGCACTACATCTTTGAAATGCAAATACGCAAACATGTTATATACTAATAAACGATCCATGTTATTCGAAGATGAAAAAAATAAGAAAATTACATATATGGATAACAAATTTAAGATTTCAAGATCGCATTGTTATAATGAGATCAAACAAAAATATTTAAATAAAACAAGAATTATATTAAAACTGAGTAATGTCAATATCAATAACATGCTCAGGTAACAAATATAAGTTATATGACATCAAAATACTGTCATTTGATGTTCAAATCTGATTGCTTTTTATAAATTTGCTAATAAGTACTATAATGAGAACATCGAAACGTTAAATTTTTTAATTATTTACGTAATTTCTATTTTATTTTTGGCACATTTACACGACCCTCGAGTAAAGATACGATCGATGTGTTCTTCTTATAACGAATATAATAATAAAACGGTCGATTTATGTTGAACTGTAACTGTGGAGGTGTCCAGCTTATACTAAGTGGCACAATTAGAACAGCTGCGAACAAAATATCAATAATCATAATGTCGCATCAACGATTTAATAATATTTAACGATATCATTTCTTTCTCATCATTATAGCCCAAGCACGAATGTATGCTTTGCATTTTATTTTATTGCAAATTTGATTCTTTGCGTAAATATTCCCCCTTAGATTTACTACCGATTGTTACTATTAATAATATTTGCCAAATGTTTCCAAATTTTTATGTAAAAATTCCGTCATTCGATAAGTCTTTCAGAAACAGAGTAATAATCATGTTGTTAATTAAGAGTTTACGAGCTAATCGTTTATATGTAAAGTATAGAAGAATTACACAGCAAGACAAGAAGAGTTACACTAAATAGCGATCGCTAATGATAAAAATGATGGAACGAAAAGTAAAAGAGAGAAAAAAGATAGGCAGATTAATAGGCAAATCTTACAAATCGTTTAGTTGCCACATTTTAATGATGCTTGCATATTTCGTTAATTTCTCGGATCATGCATGTTGCCTCGAAGTAGTTCAAGATCGTTTGACGCTCGTATTACGAACGAGAAAGGCCTGTTTGCTTCGAAGGTCACAAAATCAGGTAGAAATCTTCGGCTGCTGATGCCTATCGAAGAAATGTCATATCCCACCATATAATCTTTTATGATAAAATTCAAAGAAGCAGCCAAGAAGCGTGTCCAAGTACTTTTAGATGGGTTCAAGATGCTGAAGAGAAAGTTTACTTAAAGTTTTCATTCATTATATTCTCCAAATAAATCTTATAGTTTTAATGTAGTTAAAAAAACATATATTTCTATGTACTATAATATTTAATATATTCTACATATTGTATATTTACATAATTACGTATGTTATAATATAAAAAGATTACATTATTAAAACACTATATTATGATATTGATATTAATGCACGTGCTATTAATAATTTAGGACAATAATAATATTAAGTTTTATTGATATTAGTTTCTATTATTTATTATTTTCTATTTCTAACAAAAATAAAAATGCCATGGATAATTTAAAATTGTGAAAATTTAAATTGTTAAAGAAAAGTCTGTGTCTTTTGAACCGATTTAAATGTACTTGTTATTTTAAATCCTCACGATAAACACGCTGCATGTAAAATTTGGCAAATAGAACTAAAAAAATAATCAGCAAAAGAAAATCGATCACAAAAAAATTTTCAATTTCAAAGCTAAAAATATATCTACAAAGCAAGAGTAAACATCCGAATAAAAAAATATACAAGTTTTTCATTTCTGTAAAATTGTCAAAGAACTATTAATATTTTATATTGTTTTATATTTTCGAATAAGATTCTTTTAAAACTCTTTCTGGGAATATTTTTTAATATTAATTTTACTTAAATAAATTGTCAAAATTTGATATTTTCAAATTTGTGAATAGTCAATCTTGGAAAGAATTTAAATGATTATAAAAATTAAAGAAAGAAATTTAATTTAGATATAAATAATATCAATTTTTATGTCTAGCATCTTTATGTTTGCATATCGTATATTATATTATGAGATACTTTATTGATCATAAATTATGTCCCTATCGTTTATGTACTAGTATTGATACAAGTAAAAAAGATATATGAAAAAATATATATTGAATATATATATTTTGAAAAAAAAAATCCTCTCGAATATTCGCGTCTTTGTATATATAATAATATGTGATAGATGTAAAAAGTAATTATTATTTTTTATTTTACTAATTATTATTTTTATCAATGTAATGAATAGATATAAATGTACATCATCGCTATGACGCTATCTTCGTTATAAATAACGTAAGGTCGTTGAATTTAACGATCGCCAGGAAAGGATGATCGACTGCAAAGGTAATGGGTTCCAATGGTTTCCAGACACTGGAAAGTGGTCTGACAGAGGCACCTGTCAGAAGATTATTCCTTGCATCAATTATTCGTTTTAATCAATAAACTCGTCAAATGCATCTTTATGCGCCCAAAGAGCACAGATGTATATGTGAGAAACACTTAAATGAGATAATACTCATGCGAAGATGTTTAATCTGAAACGTAGAGGCTAATTAAATTTGAGAGTGCAGGAAAAAGAAAGAAGAGCTTGGCATACCGTGATAAATATCATTGATATCGTTCGAAACAATGAATCTCCAGTACCAAAGTCACTCGCTTTTTTTTATTAAATATATTCTTATATTCTCTATATATTTGAAAGCTATTTACTCGTTTAATTTTCTAGTCGAGATTGATATTATTAATCGTATAAATTCTTTAGTTCTGCATTTCTTTATGTCATATATATATATAATTAAATTAAAAATAATATTTTTTTGTAAGAATCAGCTGTAAAAACTGCCGAAACTGTGGAATTGTCGAACTGTGAAATCAAAAAAGAGTGCGATCCACTTCGTCGTAGCAAAATGCATAATTATAATTTTTCAACGAAAAATTTCGTGGAGAATAATCTCATGACACAAATTCCCAGACACAATTACTTCTTTCAATAAAATAATTATGTGATTAGCTCGAAATATTTTTTCTCAAAATTTCAATACTCCTCCTTCCTCTCTCTTTTTCCTCAGTAGAATTCATTAGTCTGAGTTACTACTGCAGTTAGACTTGATTAGCATGATTAAATGACTAAATAATATTGTTCATTGCAATGAAATTTTATATTCACGCAGATATCACAGTACAACTGTTGTCATACGATTATATCATTATCGTGATGATTTTGAACCGCGAATTTTGTGACAATATGTTAATATTGAATGATTTAATTCTAACGAAGATGATACATTGAGATGAATATCAAGTCTGAAGATTTACTCTCATTAAATTTCTGAGCTTCCGTTGTTTTAACGTCCAATCATTCGCGGATTTTTCAGAAATTGGAAAAATTTGTAAAGCCAGACTTAAATGCAATATTGTGTTTAAAATTTTTCAAATTTTAAATTTGAATTATTTGATTTTCAATTGTTTATGTTATTTAATTTGTCTGGAAAAGTTAGATATGAAGTTTAGAAAACTATTCGTAATACATCAAACGCAGGCTATGTTTGTATACTCACCGTTATGTTTTCATGTAAATTTGACACTAGTCACAAGTCACAAGATCGAAATGTAATTATTATAAAATCTTAACAAGATTTCATTTGTCGTTATAATTCAAAAACAACAAATGACATAAATATCAATACGATTATAACGCTATATAATTGATATAGTTAATAATACGATTAATAAAGATGCATGTAAATAAAAAGTGCATGATCAAGCAAAATGCGATGCGATATAATGCTTATTTACAATACAATAGTAGCATCCCCATAAAAGACAATTAAGACACCATAAAGGCATAAAAAAAGAAAAGAAAAAAGATGTATTAAATAATGCAGATTGAAATATGTTGATATAAAAAGCAAATGTAAAAAGTATGCCAATATAAGAGCAATATTTAGCTTTTCACACTTATGTCAGCTTAAAATCACAGCAGCGTATAAAATCACATACATCCGTGCCACAGAAACTCCGAGAACAAAGAATTTAAATTTTTGCAATATTAATACAACATCAATACATGAACAGGCATACATACAGGCATCAATACATGAACAGGCATACATACAAGCATAATGAATCATCTTTAAAACAATTTCTCAGAGTTTCTCAGAAGCGAAAAAGAATCTCAATGTATCCCAAAAATAGAAATTAGCGAAATACTATCTTTCAAAATACTATCTTAAAAAATACAAGATCATTATTTTCTATTGTATTTACTATAATTTTTCTTTTCACGCCCGTTACTACAGTATTATCACATTATTAAATTATATATTTTTTATAGTTTTATTGATATTATAAATAATAATATTTTATAATAACATAGAAATTATAAAATAAATTCTAATAAATTAAAAATTGAGAGATAAAATAAAAATAAGAGGTAATAAAATTCGATAAGGATATATGTTTGGAAAAAATTATTTAAATTAATATGTTTACGTAATTAAGATTTCTCTGTATTTGAAATTGAAGAGATAGTATTTTGCTCAACTTTGATTATAAACAAGAATATGCAAAAAATAAAACGAGGTATACTTACCAGTAACGGCGGCTGCTTCGCTACCCTCCTCGTTTACTTCAATGAAAGCTTTTTGCACGACTTTATCGATCTTCAGGCGTACGTCCGAAATGCCACTAAAATTAGCAGAATTGCTGAATGGCTCACTAAGACCCATCTGTAACAAATAAATGTAATAATTGCGTATAAGATATCTGTAAAACGGGTAAGTGGAGCATTCGTGAAATATTGCGATATACCTTTGCAGATAATGTATCTGTAAGATCCAGTTTGGTCTCGGTCTTGAATTTGGGCAAAAACACCCGGACTTCGCGCTCATACGTTTGGGCAAGGCGTGTGCTACATTCAGCGGAAACTGTTTCGAGATTATTGATTATCGCAGATAGACCATCAATTTTATCGGGTAGAATAATCACCATGCTAACTTCTTTATTCTGCAATAATAAGTATAAACTGAAGTTTTATGAAGACCATGAAATGAGATTTTCAGAGAAATGCAGCAAAATGTAAAATATTTCACACAAAAATGAAAAAAAATTCTTGCTTCTCTGCTTTGAAAAATATCGAAATTTAGGAAAGCAACATTACCGCGTACGGCAGTTCGATGCATTTAGCCTCATGTTTCGGCAACTCGACATATTTGTAGTTGCCCTTCCTGTACATAGTAGGGACTGGAGAAGGTTCGGGATTGGCATTCTTATGAAATGGGCGGTCGACGGTGTTTATTGGATCGAACTTATGAGCCCAATTGCCTTTAAAGTACACAGCGTTCGCGAGTATCAATGCAGTAGATGGATCCAAATCGCCTAAAATCAAAATAAACAATGTTCACTATCGATTCAATAAATCAAATAATTTTAAAGATTTGATCTGTTATGCTCTTCATCACCTCGATATACATAATAATGTAATATTATATCTCTCTTATATAATTTCAATATTCTATATTTATTTATTTCTATTATATTCTATATTTTTATTTTTATATTTATTTCTTTATTATATTATTTATTTATTTAAAGTATAGAAATATATATAGATGTTGAATTTATATCTGAAGAGTTAGAGCATGCATCATTTTGTTGAATTATCAAATTTTTTATTATTCCATTTTTTATTATTCTATTTTTACATTTTAAATTATTAGCAAAAACAAAAATAGAAGAAAACGCGGTTTTCATCCTTTCTTCATAATTGTATAACAAATAAATATGAATTGTTTTTTACCAGCTTGTATGATATTATTGATGCGATTGTTGGTCTTCTCCTGGCACCATGTATTGATGGTATCCGCAGCCTGCGCTTTTTGGCTAAAATCTACCGGCTGGATGTCAGAACGGTAATATGTCTGGAGATCTTGTTTGTATTGTGGTTTTATTAGGAAATTTTTGCCGATAAATAGCTTGTTAGCAAGCTTCAAAGTAACATTTGAAACATTCTGCAAAAAAAAGTATTCGTGTCATCTTGATGAGAAGATTAAATATATATACAATATATTAAGTTTTATAAATCTTCTTGTCCAATATACTCGTATATATATATATATATATATATATATATATATATATATATAATAATGTTTGATAATTACGTTCAGGGTATCGATGAGACTCTGAAAACCGGTCAGAGTCTGTGTCTTCGACGGAAGTTTAAGTACATCCCTAAATTGCGCCTCGGTAGATCCGGCGGCGCCATTAGCAGCCATGCTTAAAGCAATATCGGCACTCAAGGGAGAAGTTATTAGATTATCTTGTTGTTCTTTTGCAACAGTCTAACAGAAAAAAAATTGTGCACTTTGAATATTATTTCATTACAATTTCATGCTAACAATATAAAATCAATTTGATGCATTTGTATCGATTATTTTATTACTGAATTATTGACAATTTTGAACATCAATTATGTTATATTAAAATTAATAAAATTAATAAAAATTTAAATATTGTAGATATAATAAGAAATTCATTTTCAAACAATTATTTTATTGATATGATTATTAAATTAATAAATAATATTTAACAAAAAAGCTATATTATTATGTCATAATAAATGCTTAATAAAAGCTTCCTTTCTCTTTAAAAATATTTAAATTCTATTATATACCTTGACAAAATTGGTGGAAAACAGTTGGGCGCCCTGAGAGACGACCTGAAGGTCTGCGTTTGTTTCAATTGGCGTTGCCATAGCTGATGCAAACAGGCAGAATGCCAAAAAACTTTTTTGTACTGCAATAATGGAAAAAAAAAGATTAATGATAAATGTATTTTGAATTCACCATTATGTTATTATAATATTAATTTAATTTTGCGTTTTAAAATACATCAATTTTTTATATTAACAATATAAAATATATATATATATATATATATATATATATATATATTTAAATGATTAAAAATTAAATCGAATTGGCAAATTAAAGCCACACCGCAATAGTTGAACCACAAAGAAGATACAATACTTTCTTTTTTCCAATTACTCGTATATTTCACATTAAAAATAATTATATTAAAAAAACGAATGTTTCGGATCATCTTTTGATACTTCTTTAACGCGATGTTAACAATGCGCAGAGTGCGTTACAGAGTGTTATATGATGTATGTGACGCATTAAATTATAAAAATATTTGTCCTTGATGCATAGATAACGTTACATTGCAATTAACGTTATGCGCTTCAAATACCATGCTGTGGCTTCGGGCCAAATTTTATTTAATTTTGATATATTTAAATATTTCGCTTATATAATTATCCTAAAAACAATAAATAACGTATATAAATAACTACTTTCATCTCATTTTCTAAATATAGCGATATATCTATATTGTTTAAATTTAATGCAAAGAAATGGTCAACACTATAGAATCGCTGTTGAAAATTAAATACTTGCACGTGAAAGTTATATATAAAAAAAGTCTTGTACAAATGGTTCAAGGTAAACATGAAACTACTACCATGAGTCTCCTATACACACATTTACATTAATATTATATATCAATACAATACATGTGAATCTTTTAAAAATTACTATGTAAAAATTAAAATAATTCGAAAAATAATAATAGTTTCATTATATATATATATATATATATATATATATATATATTAAATATATATATATATATATATTAAATATATAATTTTATTAAACATGTACACATATTCTAAAAAAATAAATATTTAATAAATATTTAATAAATATTCTGCTCGTCCTAATTAAAATATTTAATAAAAAAAATAGTTAATATAATTAAACTAATCTTTTTATAAAAAAAAAACTTTATTAAAATTTAAACTACTCCAAGTTATGAAGTGTTTAAATAACGCCTTTTCTACTTACATTTTTCATTCATGAATATATAGTATAAATAAATTTTCTTTTGATTACATGGTTCTATATTGATAATTTTGCTATTTTTTTCCAATTAAATAATTCCGATGATAAATCATGTATTCATTCGGAAATAATGATTAGTAATTATTCATATTTATGATTATTATGCAATGATTATAGATATTCAAGAATAATAGTAATAATTTACCGAAATAATTTTTCTCTCACGTTATTCTTATAATTATTATTACATAATTCTTCTACGTTATTTTTTATTACAAATATTAGTTTTTTCGAGGTAAAAATATAAGCGATTTAAATTATAATGTTTTTATTCATTAATCGCAATGCTTTTGGAAGATATACAGAATAAAAATAATTTAAAATTATTTACATAGTATTAAAATGCATAAAAAAATTGTTATCATAAATAATCTCAAATAATTTAATGCGATTTGTGTTATTGCCAATTTAAATTAATAATAATATAAAAATTGGATACCTTAATTTAATAATAATATTAATTATTTTTTTCTTCCTATTTTCTTTGAAGTATTTTAAATAATTTAAATAAAAATTAAAAATAAAAATATAATTAAAGTCTACATATAAAAAGAATTTTTTCACATAATCAAGTTAATATAACTAATTATATAAATAATAATTATTCAGTTTACAAATTTACATAAATTCAAGCCAAAATATTCAAGTTAAATATTATCATTATTATTATCATCTTTAATTGCACGACATAAATCTGTTTTTGATAGATAATACATTATGTTTGCATTTAGCATTATTACTATTAAAATTCACAAATCTTACGAATAAAATAATGATACAGCAATAATTTAAAACGTTTTCTTGATATTGTTACCTCAATCGTCTGTTTTATTTCAATTTCGATATGGCATAATTGCACAACATTATTATTTCTTGTCAACATTTTATTTCAATTTTTATGAGATTTTTATACGATATAATCACCATTGACAAATCATCAAAATCGAAAATTAATTATGGTCAAAGTTTAATGAAAAGAGATAAAAAGAAACAAACAAAACATGAAAGCATGATACTGCAGTGATAATAAAAGATATTACTTCAGCAAATGTACGCAACTTCGTTTTATCAAACTAATGGAAAGCACAAGTTTGATAAGTATATAATATATTGACGATAAACAGACGGCAGAGCGCTAACAACATGTGAGTTAAGTAATGCATAATACAGAATGAAAGATTATCGAATATCTTTCTTTCTAATCATTTATTTTCCAATCTTCTTAAAAGTTAATTTAAAAATTAATTTGTTCAAAAACTTTAATTAAGTTATCAACAAATTAAAAGTCTCTTATAAATGTACGAATAAGAAATGATATAAACTTCAAATAGCGAGTTTAATTTTTTTATGATAAATATATGGAAAATATATTTTTTACGCCACAAATGTAACTTATTCTTAGATTATCATAGCTAAATACATTATTATTTTTATATTTCAGGTTACCTAAATTAATAACATAATATTTCGTCACTTATTCGCTTTCTAAACTTAACTCATCGCAAATCATTAATTTTGTTAGTCACTTTAAATTCAACAATTTGATAATCTGATAATCAAAAAAAATTACTCTCTCTATTCTTTATAATTTGGCCTTCAGTGTTTCTTATTAAAAGAAAGAATAAATCTAGGAACATTCCGTATATTCAATTGTATCGTTGCATAATAATTTCGCATAAAGAATATGAAATATATATAACTTGATGTTATATGTGCGTGCTAATGCGCAAAGAAATCAAATCAGTACTATATGTGTCTAATAATATTTGTCTATATCTCCAATTATTAAGAAAAAAATCTCGCTCGTATGATAACGAGCAGCAAATTAAATACGAAATTGCAAAAACTATTGCTATCGTAAATGTGATGTAAGAAGATTATTAGTAAAAAATAAAAATATCAAAAAAGCTATTGGCCTAAAAGTATTATCTGGAAATAATATTTAATTTTATTACAAAATCGAAAACATTCATTGCATATACTAATAACACAAGCTGATTGGCTAATTCTCAAAATTGTTTAAAGAATCGATCGATAAATATATGTAATGAGATTTTCTCATATTTTATGATGAGATATAAATAACAAATATTTCTCTCACGAAGATTCCAACTAAGCCATTAAATTGATATTTTCTTATTGGGAAAAACCCATCAACACGTTAACAATCTCGTTATGTATATACGACTAATCATGTATGTATATATATATATATATATATATATATATATATATATATACGAGATGAATAATTCTCGTAAATACACATGTCATAAATATGTTTTATAAATACGTAATTTATATTGTAAGTTTATTGGAATAAACTTAGGGCAGCAATTTTTACAACTTTCTCGATAATAGTTAATAACTTTCACATTTACTATAAAAAAAAATCGATGGAAAAACATCAATGGAATAGTCGAAATAATTGATCAATTAATGCCTTATGTAAAATGAGACAATATAATTACTTTTTAAATAATTTTTTAAATAAAAAATTCTCAAAAATTGTAAGGTTTCCTTTTGTTAAAATTTTTTTCTTTCTTTGACGTTGATGGTGCGTATTTTTTTCTTACGATGATAATTATACAAAGAATTCTTACAAGAGATTATTTTGTGCTTTTTAAAGTAAAATAAACTGTTATGCAAGTCACCATACATTCTGAATTGAGATATAAATCGAGTCATGATCATTTCAAAATGTATTTCGTGAAATAAAGGATTTTTAAATGTAACAATAAAATTTTATTAGATCGTTTGTGTATATAATACACTTTTTTGCATATAAATATTAAGTGTAAATCATGAATATTAAAATTGTAATATGATAGAAAAGAATATTCATGAATGAAAAGTATTAAGAGAATTGAAAGAACTCAACATTATCTTATTTTTTAAAGATTTATAAAAGATTATTTGATCTTATTTATTTATATAATATTAAAAAGAATATAAAAAATTTATTATCAATTGAAATCAATGAGAACTGAGAGAAAAATAGAAACTACAATTATTAAGTCTACAATTATTCATATATATATATATATATATATATATATATATATATATATATACAAAAAAATATCAAGTATTCTTATTTACCAAAAAAATTTCATATATATAAAATATATATATTATATATTATATACATATATATACATATATATATATATACATATATATATATATATGAGATGAATAATTCTCGTAATACATGTGTCATAAATATATTTTATAAATATATAACTTATATTGTAAGTTTATTGGAATAAATTTATGGTAGCTATTTTGATATGCAATCATTTTTTCAGTAATTTATATAATAGCAAAAATCGCAATCATCTCGAGATCCAGCATAAATTTGCATGTGGCTGATACAACTAGATCGTATGTATATATATTATGATCACTATATATATATTTTTTTTGACATGGCCATACTAATTAATTGATAATGAAAGAAAAGATCATACTACGCAACTTGACGTGAAATATAAAGAACAAGAACAATATCCAGAGCTCGCGGATCACCTTGAAGCTAATATCACAAGAAAATTACGACTCTCCAAGTCGCATTATCACCGATTTGGCAATTTGGTATGTATCGATAAGACGTCGTCGTCAAATAAGAAAAAATTTGACGAAACATCGATAACGGTAGCAGAGATCATGTTTGGGATTATCACTACCGCGAGAGTAATTGTATTATTGATAATCTATTTGACCTTATTACGAAAGAAAAATTAAAATGCTAATTAAACTAATCGAGTTCAACAATTGAATTTCAGATTTTGCTTTTTTTCATTATTTATATTCGCTCTCTATCTTGAATATTATTCACCTAGCTCGTTTCGCGCGAGCTACTTATCTTTCTTAGCTATGTTTTCAATTTTTTTTATTAATTAATTATTAATTATTAATTATAGTATTATTATTATTATATATAATATTATCATTAAATATATGAAAAAATTGAGGAAATGTTTGTAGATATCCGAAAATATTTAAATTAAACATCTTCAGTAATGTGTTTCTCTAAATTAATTTTAATTTAATTTAATTAAAAAAAATTTGCGATATGAACTAAATTTGAAAAAAATAAATAAAACAAGTATATATAAATCTATGTGTTGTCAAACAATTCTGAAAAATTGATTTTATATTGTAACTTCGAAAATATAACGAATTTCGAAATTATATTATATTATATATAATTTAATATATAAACATAAGAATCAAAACAAAAATAAAAGTGATATGTGTCTCGAAAATCATTGGTAAATAGTTCAGTAATTAATCAAAATGAACTATTACTTGAATAATTGAACTATTTATTTGAAAATAATTATTATGTTGTGATGAATATAATTAATATAATGATTTTATACAATTTCTGATGAATTTGTAAAAAGAATCATCGCTATTGTTTATATTGTATTTTGTAAAATGATGCGTATTTTTATAAAAATATCAATTAATCATTTTCAAGATATATATATCTAATAGCTAATATGCAATATTATACATAATATATAACAAAAATTTAGTTTATACAATACATTTACAAGAAATCTTTATCGATCTAAAAGAAACTAAAAATCAACAATTGAAATCTGCACAATTTCAATATATTATTCAGTTCAATTTTCGATGAAGAGACTTGTCAATGTCTTTAACAAACATAAGAAAGTTTTGTTCGTGTAGCCTCAAAATCTGTAGACAAAATCGAAATTACATCTGTTTTCGATTTCTATTCCACGCGTTTCGTAGATTTATAAAGGAAAAATCAAATTTGCTTGCATCTAAGATTGATCGTAAATCGAAAAGGAAATAATCCACGCGAGATAAGAGTCAATCGAATTAGTCAACGTTGCTTTCGATTGATGACGAATCTACTTACATGTACACATCTTGTCCATCGAGAACTCGTTTCCTTCGAGCGTCAAATGCGGACTGTAAAGTACAAGCCGGCAAATGAATAGAAATCGTTGATATCCCGTCCGGAAAATCCCAGCTCTCGCCGAGAGGAGGGAGTCCACCGACGTAGATGATCGTGATGGTGCGACCAATCGTGAAGAAGCGCGCGTTCAAACGGCTAAAATTGCCGTGATACTTAATTGATCTTCGAACGTGACCCTGAGAAACTCACACGCGTCACACAATGACCCGACATAAACACGCGAATATCATAGAAATCCGAAAACATCATTACATTCGACAATCGATCTGTTTCCCTTTTTTTTTGTCTCCGAAGGAAGCTGACTGATTCGATCTATCGCACCGATCGTCAACTTGATCACGATCGAGTCATGAACGAAAGACATAAGACGACGAAGAAATTAAATCAATATAATCCATGAAGTTTGAGACAAGAAAATAAAATTGATTTAAATCTTCTATTAGTTACAACATCGAAAATTGAACTCATTAAAATAACAATAATTTTAGTTAAGTACTTTTAGTTCTCTACTAAAGTCATATTATTATTGTGCTTTTCATATCATTCTGATCGTTTTTTTATATTCATCTTTATCAAATATTGCCTAATGTGTGTTACAATAAAAAAATCCAATTTTAAATCATATCTTTTTTACAAAGAGTAAATTAATTGTTTACCAGTAGAGAGATTCTAATGACCAAAGGTTAATAGAGAGATTAGGAGAGAGACTACAGAACTTTTTTACTCTCACTCTTCGCGAGATAGAAAATCAGTTGCCTAATAAAAGATTAAATTCATAAATGTTGTAATAAGTATTTAATGTTTCCTGTTCAATTTAATTTTGATAAATAATCACAGAAATAATTATCATATACTTTTATGCTGCTATTTTTCTACATATATATTATCACATATAAATACATATTGTAATATTAAGTATCTTGTAACACGTCAAGTTTATACCTTGTCGATACCTTGATAACAGTTGAATTTTCGAAAAAAACTCTGATACAAAAGTTATTAAGTACTATCGATAGAGTGACTACAAAGCACCCCTTTCCATTTAAAAAATAATTTTTTTTAAATTCTTGATGTAAAAACGGACATTTAAGGTTATTCAAAGTCATCAAAGTATGTGCTCCTGCTTATCCTACTATTTTCATAATGGATGTCTTCTACCTATCTCTTACCGTTTTCGAGAAAAACACGGTGGACGTTTTATCAGAATCACCTTGTATATACATAGCTATATAAAAATATATTTTTTCTACGCAGACCAACAGGAAAAAAGTCGCTTGAAGATATGAAGTAAAACCGGTTATTCTACGGGATTATCCTGAATAGCTGCCAACATAACAGCCTGTTATATCGTAGTATATCCCGCAATAAAGATAGAATATACAAGAGTGAAATTGAACACTTCGAAAGAATAAGTGCGATTAAAAATAATTATAAGCAGTTTTCAATTTTTTTTAGACATGTAAAAAATTTTTAATTCATATAATATAGTGAACAAACACATCACAATATATCAATTATTAAGTATACCAATTATAACAATAAGTATACTAATTATTATAAAATACAAAATAAAAATTTTTTATAAAAAATAGTTAGGTCCATAAGATAAATTAATAAAAGTTAGAAAATATGACTATCAAGGACCTTTAATAAAACGCAGTAATTAAAACGTAGTTTTCTTAAAATTTTTTTAATATTTAAAATTAAATAAAAAATTTAGACATTTCGGTCCAACTGAAAAGAGCCCGAATTGAATCGAAACGTCTAAACGTTTTTTTTTTATTTAATTTTTTTATTTAACTTTAAATATTAAAAGATTTTTGAGAGAACTACGCTTTAATTACTGCGTTTCATTAAAGGTCCTTGATAGCCATATTTCTTAACTTTTGTTTAACCTTTAAAGTACCAGAAAAGCCACTTTTGTGGCTCTGAACAAACTTCGAAATTCTGCGTAATGTTAGTATATGTTAATATATGTAATTTATATGGAAAGATTTTTGGGAAGAAACATTATTTTAATGAAAAAATGCAGTCTAAAGATTAATTATTATAAGTATATATAATTTTTATAAGTATATCAATTATTTTGAAAAATTAGAGCATTTTCAAAAATTAAAAATTATTTTTAAAAATTCTATTTTTAATATATTACTGCTTTAAAGTAAATGAAAATGTAAAAACTGTATTTTACAAAATTAATTTTAAAATTTGCGCGCACGCACACACATACATATTTTTATCATATACACATATCGTATTCCTTATACAGAGTGTTTCAGACCACCCGTATCACCATTTAAAAACTAGAGAAGTGGTTATTTCAAAAAAGTATAAAATTCATTTTCTTTTTAAATCAGGTGCGCTCTATCGAATGGTGATATTTTCAACTTCTGGTTCAGGAAAATAAGCGATTCAAACTGAAAGTGCATTTTTTTAAATGGAACTCCCTATTTTTCAAAAAACAAAATTTGTTGAACAAATAACTGTTCGTATAAAAATCTTTTGTTACATAGATCTTTTGTACATAGATTATTGCAAAATAAAAACGTTTTTATTAATCCTCTCATACTGTTTTTGAAAACAAATTGCCTAAACATTAATATTATAATTTGTTAATGATGAGTTGGAAATAAAAGAAAATCAGAATTTATAATATATGTTAAATTTCTTAAAAATATCAAAGCTCTCATAAGTCTTGTAAGTATTAAATTAAAAAGGAAAAAATATACAAATATTATATTATATTATCAAATTATTATATGTAATAATATATAAAATATCTTCGAATATATAACGAAGAAAAAAAATTTATTCTCTGCTTTAGTGTCAAAAATCCGTAGGATCAAATTTTCTCTTTTAAGAAAAATTATTTCAGTTTTTATCAAATATTATATATAAATATATAAATTATTTACTAAATGACTAAGAATAATTATAATTTAATATTATATTACTAATAATAATTATAATAATATTATACTACTAATAATAATTATAATAATTATATTTGAAAACATTAAAATAAAATTACTTAATTATAATTATTTAATTTTTTTGTTATTTCAGTAGTCCATAAGGCATTGGGATTTCCAGTCGCATAACTACGCACAGCTGTATACTCAGCAAATATTGACGTCAAACAAGTCTTTTTGTGATAGGTATGACTCATACGCGAGACGAGTCGGCATACTTTCATTATCATACACCAATTCTTACAAATATAATATATAATTATATAAATTTATATATCAATTTACCTGATTGACGAATCTGAACTTTCGACAGTTGACAGTTATCTTGTCTACGTTTGATTAAGAAAACACATATAAACAATGAGTTTCCTTTAAAATATCTACTCTTTCTCACGCTCTACACTCATTTGTCCACCATGTCAACATCCATCGAGTTTTAATCGATTCAATTATACGTTCGATTCATCGTCTGTTACAAATCGACATATCGTCAAGAATCGATAGTGAAACTAAATATACAACATACAAAACGCGCATGCTTGAATGTATCAAAAGGTGTCGAGTTGGCAGCAATTTAATGTTTATCAGTCGCGAGTTTATTCCTCGAATCAGAGTTATTTCTGCGATATTCTACGATAACATATTGATTAATTATGAGCAATCCATATCTAGAATAATTAGAATTAATACAAAAAACAGAAGAAAATATTGAAAAAGTTATGATCTTTTAGTTATTTTCTCCTAATAATTATAAATAAATTATCTCCAATTATTTTGATTAATATTTGTGAAAATAGTTCACTTATAAGTGACATAAAATATAATATTATAAGTAATTGAACAATTAATTATAAAAAGTAAAATAACAAACTTTATCGATCCAGTAATAGACTTTCATTGGATTATCAATCCAATGAAAAATGGTTAGTAAATAAACAATATTAATACAAAATAAATCGATAAATAGGCAATTTTAAAAATATATTTTGCTCTAGTTTTGATATGATTAACGATATATATAATTAATCAAGTTGGAAAGCATAATTTTGCCGATATAGATTACTACGAAAAGCGATTTGATGGCAAAAATGACCATTTTTTCATAGATTAAATCGAAAATTAAATTGGATTTAATTATAATGATATATTATTGAATTATATTACTATACTATATTATACAGAACGAAAAAAAATTATTTATTGGTGCTTTAATATCTAAAAGTAATTAATATAAAAATAATATTAATAATGACAGCTGAAAAATATCATATCTTATATTATCTATTATATTTTATATTGATTTATCATGTTATTAAAAAGTATTGCTGAGTTATCTTACAATAAATTGATTAAATATCACGTTTAATATCATATATTGTTCAATGTAGAAAATGTAACATAAATTAAAAATTATAAGAATGCTTTTATATAATGACGAAACTTTTTATAAAAATATTATTTTACAAACCTACATTAAAGGCAGTGAGACTTTTGGTTTCTCTATGGTTGAAAAGGCGTGTCCTACGGATAGCTGACTTAATCACAATATGAACATCCTCAATACGAACGTAGCTTTTTACCTATTGATAAGATTACTTTAGTTGAATGTATGAGTTATTGTGTATGAGCATTCCAAATCGAAGCGAATGAAAAAACCTAAATTTAGCCCATTGCGAATAACCTAAAATAAAATAAATAAGTATGCATTTTTTGTTATGATAATTTTGATTTTTGCAAATGACGTTATGACAAACAGAAATACGTATAAGATGAATTTGTTTTTAAATTTTCCATTAAGATATAGAAGCCTAACTTTTATTATAATTATTGTAATTATTTATCCTAATTATTGTAATTATTTATCCTAATTATTTTTTAATAATTATTTAACTTATTATTTATCACGTTTTAAATTGCATTAAAACATCTTAATGATATTTATGGAAACATATATGCGTATGCACTGATTACATTAACTTATCAATAGAGTTCCGTCTTTGAAGCTATGATAACTTATCTAATCATCTGGTTTAAAAACAAGTCAGTTAAAAAAAATTTTGTTTATTTTTTTATATTTTTCATTTCATAAGAAAATGATAAAACTAATTATAATAAATACGAAAATCAAATAAATACATTTAAATGTATAAAGTATAACTAGACAGATCAGATTAAATGTGTGATCGATATTTTTGTATAAAAATTAATTAAAAAATTATTTTAAATATTTTAAAAATTTGTTCATTTTTAAAAAATTATTCATCTAATATATTCAAAAATCGTATATAGGATAGAAACAGTTTAAAAATTTGTTCATTTTTAAAAAATTATTCATCTAATATATTCAAAAATCGTATATAGGATAGAAACAATATAAATCAGCATGTCCTTCAAAGAGAGGAAAATCGAAAAAAGAGATGTGTCGATTAAACTGGAGGAAATTAAAAACAATTGGCACAAGTCTACTTCGAGAAATGACTATATATAATACATAATATAATTATAGTTATTCTTGTCTTTATGTATATGTTCTTTTCTTTTTAATATTTTAAATTTATAATACTTTTAGTTTTATGTACATACTGTTACTTTTTTATGTACGTGCTAAATCTTTTCCGAAATTTTTTAATGTTTCCTCTAAAACTAGCTAGCCATGAGAAGTCATAATGGAACTGCAACATTTGCTGTTAACATTTCTTTTGCAAAGATCGCAGCTGCAGCTCAGTTTTTGTGACGGTTTTTGTTTACGATAACATTTAGGAGGACACAGAGGTGGTTGTGGTTTGGTTTCGCAACAGCAAGGAGCATAAGGGTCCTAAGGATAAATTATGATTGATATTGAAAGAGAAAGAAAGAGAGAGAGAAAGAGAGAGAGGGGATTCAGTTTAAAAATGTGTAAAATGTGTTTAATTCTTATTCAACTTTAAATCCAGCATAAAATAATATACAATATGTATATGTATATACATTAATTAATTTTAAATATTATATTTTATTTATAATTTTAATAATTTATTAAAATTATAAATTTATTTATAATTATTTATTTATAAATTTATTTATAATTTTAATAATTTATTAAAATTATAAATAAAATATATTATTTAATAAATTATTAAAATTATAAATAAAATATATTATTTAAAATTAATTAATTAAACTTATTTCAAATTTTGTAAAAAATATATTTAATAAATAAAAAATATATTTCATAAAAATAGATTTATATTAAATATATATATAATACAGATATATAAAGGAAACTTTTTATGTAAATTTTTGCACCTATTCAATTTACAGAATGTCATTAGATTATAATAGAAGATGCATATTTTCCCGATAATAAATTTAATAAACGCATAATAATATTGACATATTTTATATATTTTATACCTGCATTTTTATATAACAGCAAGAGATTGTTTTGGGACAAATTTGACTAGGAAGTATGTATGGCCGTTTTTCGATACAAGGCAGACCTATGTCGATTTCTTCATCTTTCTTCAATTTAGAGTCAGTACATTTTTTTCTTGACTTTTCTTTCTTAGAAGGACATGCCGATTTAAATTGTTCCGTACCTTGTTTAATTGCTAAGTGTACTACAAGAGTAATTATACAATTTTTTAAATATTTAAAGTAATATTTAAATAATGTTTTGTACAAAAAAATCAAAATTATTCATATATATGTACGCATTGTCAAATTATAATACGATATGTAATGTTTGATTGACAAGATTCTACGGGATTGTGCACCAGTTGTTCATTAAAAAACACAAATGTACCGCAATCGAATAATCGATCAAGAATACTTCCACGTGATGTATCATCCATCATAATGACTGGTGATAAAAAGACCTTTTTATTTGGATTTCATTATTATGCGAAAATGTGGTAATAATTATTTATAATTTGCCTTGATATGCAACGAGAATGTGGTATGTAACAGTTATCAATCATTGGACAAATGAAGTACATATTACCATAAAAAATAACAAATTTCAAGAGACTACTAATATAAGTTATAAATAAGTTAAAATCAGACTTCTGTGTATTTATTATTTATAATATATAAAAGTTTGTGATTATAAATTTCACTTTCTATTCAAATCCCGCGTTTCTTAAAAAAAAAATAAGAAAAAAGTTTCTGAATATGCATCATACATCTAAATGACATGTCTAATATCTTCGTATATTTCAGGCAAATATTTATTTGATGAAACTTTGACGTGATAAATTAAATGAACGATAAAATAAATTTACTAAATATTTGTTTTTATTTAAACATTTGCGCCAAAATACAATATGATGAATAAATATTTCTTTTGTATATTATTTAAATTTTATTGTATTATCATCTTTTATATAAGCAATATATGTAGAAGTAGAAGCACAGAGAAGAAGATAAAAGTAACGCATGATGTTACCTGCCTACTTTAATATATTTCTTACAAATTAATGAAATTTACCGATAGTTGGCGTCACTTCCCAATAATATAAAAAAATCCTCTCCAATTTTTTTTAAATTCACATAATACAGTATTTCAACAAATTTAAATATGTAAGATACAAAATATGAGTTTAGAAACCCGAGAAGAGGCAAATATATTAAATAATTTTATTAATATAGTTAACAAATGCACTGAGTTAGGATCGCGCAGAGTTCATTTAACAGAATTAAAATCATATTAATATCATAACTCGGATATGAGATAAAAATTTATATCATACCTTAATGTGATTGCAGCGGTTACAGCAATGTAATTGCAGCAATGGACTAGTTCTGCTTTTTCAATTTGTGATTTTTCATTGGCACTCTGTTCCACAGAATTCACTTGACAAAACTATCACTTGTACCGATGCGATATACATACAATGAAAAATAAAAAACAATCGTCCGCGTTAATTTTTTTCCATTATTATACAATTATTTATATTATACAATTATTAATTCACAATTAATTTAAAACGTCACTCGGATGCGATAAAATTTATATTCTTATAATCAGATAATACTCGTATCATATATATAATTATGATCATATTAATTGACAGTAATCACTAGTATTAACTTCATTTTTTGGCCACTCCCGATACTCGGATAAGCATCTCGAGGTCACAAATAATCACAATACTTTACAAACGAGCGCGAAGCACGAAATTTCGTATCGTATGCAAATTAAATATAGCTGTCACTCATTCGTGCCAACTGTAGCATGTGAATCATTTGAACACTAGTTTTTATTAAATGTGACGTTGGATGCACTTTATTTAACACTATTTTCGCTTCAAACTTTTTTAAAAACAATTTAAATAATATTCTAAATTAATAAAATTGATGTAGTTTATGCATTATTATTTTTATAGTTCTTTTTCTTCTTGATCTATGTTATATTCGAAAGAGATGAAACAATCAGAAAAATCTTGCGTTTCCAAACGAAAATAGCGTCAAATGAAGTGCACTTAATGACGCGTATGTGTGCATATTAAATTATAAAATCATCATAAAATAATTACCACTAATTATCGATAAATGCGTTGCAATAATTATCAGATAATTCTTATTCTTGTATTGTAGATCGCAAAAGTAAAGCGTTCGTGTAGGATACGCGTGAGAGCTCACGAAAATTCGGTCTAATTCTCGCGACAGTCAAGGTTATTACTGTGAAGAATGCGTGGGTCGTCCTACATCATGCGTCATAAGCAAGGAAGGATGGAGGGGATGTGAGAGCAGGTGCGACCGCTTTGTTTATAAAGTTATGTAAACATAGCGCACTAAGTTCGCGCACGATATACACACATTTTTCACAAGTGTAAGAATAATAAAATAATTTCCCGACTATCGTATTACGAAAATCAATTTAAACTTGTCTCATTCGTCGAACACACGAACGTACGTATATTACCCATATAATACTACTGAGAGTAACAAATCAATTACTTAATAAACATTGGAAACGTGTTTGTGTTTGATTGTCTACGATATTAATTTATTATATTCGCATTATATATACGATAAATATACGAGTTTATGTCGCAGTTAAAATGTTAGAAACTCGCGTTTAAATAATTCGGATGTGCAACAGTTATATTTAATTCGCATATGATATAAACTCGAAATCTCGATTATTGTATAATATTAATTAGTTCTGCGATCATTTACGATAATCGATGAATTTTTCAAAATTTAATTATATATATATTTAGTATACTAAATTAATAAAATTGATGAAGTTTGTGTGTAATGATGTGCAGTACAAAAACTATCTATCTTTTTCCAGATATATTAATTAATAAAAATATTTTATACATATAGATAATTATTTTCTTGTGTTAGTTTTTCTTTTCTTGATACATAGAATATTCTTGTTGTACATTTTGTTTATATTTATTTTTCTTTTGAAAATAATTGTTTTCGAGTATATATCTTATTGTTATATTTCTTATATTATCATGCGATTCGTGCTTACTATGAAAGTTGACGTAGTATTTCTCGTTTTAATCGTTATGTTATGAGGGCGTTGATGCACGACAAATTTTTATGACACGCACGAAATCAGAGATTGTGACGTACCTCACGTATGTTTATGTTTATATTACATTTAAAATTGTACGAGCATAAAATAATTATTAATATTTATTAGTATCGCTTAGTTGTGACGAGCAAGAATCGTATTTCTTGGTAGAAGACAAGATTGAAATATTTTGTCGACACTATAAAGGTTAAGATGGATAATTACAGAGTTGAGTTGGATCGAGAGACCGGGCTCTATTGCACGATGCTTTTATTTACTGACATCACGAATGTTCCCGAAATTCGCGAAAAAATCATCACTGGAGAGCTTCGTTGTTGCATGGTGAAAGCTTCGCTTATAATCGACGCTTTTCAGGTAGTGGTGGCTGCCAATAAAGCTGCCCTCAATGCTAAGCAAAATCGACTAATCACCAAGACTATATACACGGAAATTTTATTTTATCTATCGACATCTAAAAAGATATCACGTGCCTTGACTGAATTTGGAATCAATGACAGTGATAAGAATATTCTGGTGATATTGATACATGAAATTAACGAGGAAGAATCTACGTTGAAACAAGTCTTAGGAAGTATCAAGGGACAGACAGTACCTATTTCAAGAATAGAGGAGTTTGCAGATGTAAATCTTGTAAAGAAAACTTACAAAATCAGCAAAGATGAATTATGTATTTCTAGTCTCGTTAATGTTATAGTATCAAGGATCAGTTGTAAAGACTTCATGTTATAATATGATAACAGAGTGAAGAAAATGAAAGTTTATATGTCAATTATTATTAATAAAAGAAATTATATTTTAAATATAGTTTGAATAAATAAATCTATATATAGAGAGAATATATGTTTTAATCTATATACTTAAAGGTTCTTTTTATCAATTAAATGTCAATATATCTTAACAGCATTTGATAATTGCACTTGGTTTTTGCAAACTATTTTATATATTATAATACACATATATTTCTCATATTCTGAAAAATAATTTGTGGAAAAAATATATGTATACATAAAACCTATGTAGTTATGAATTAACTAATGGCAAATAATTGACATAAATTTCATAATAATGGTAGCATTGATTTAACTTATTATATATGTATCTTTAATTTATAATTTTATTATTAAAATAATTCTCTCATCATTTCTTCGTCATATTCTTCGACATCTTCTCTGTAAACATATAAAAATTTGTAATAAATATTTCTAATTTATTAGATTTAATTTATATATCAAAACTTTAAAACCGACATTTTGTTAGGATTAATACTTAGAACGTCTCTAATCAAACTATTAGAAACTAATTATAAAAAAAAGAGATGTTAGAGAGACAAGAGGGAAGAAAAAAACAGATTAGGAAAGGGAAATATGTCAGTGGTAGAATGCTTTTGCTTTTGTTGTCTTTTTTTTTATTCACTCATAAATAAGGCCAAAGATGCGTAGAAAACAATCGTTATATCCGCAAGAACACGGTACGCGTCAAATCCTGCGGAAGCAAAGTAGTAGATTCAAAGACAGCACCCCCGTAAACACATGTGGAATTTATCGTTAATGCTTTGACAGTTTATTACGAGTACCTTGGCAGATTGCACATCTCGCAAACTGCTAAATCCGCAGCATTGAGAAAAGTGCAATGAGAACATGTCCAGAGAGCTTGATCCGGAGGCGGATTTGCGATCGGCTCTGTACCAACGCCTATTCCTCCACTGGCCTCCGCAGTCGTGGAAGGCAATGTCCTCGAGCTACCACCAAAGGACGTGGCTTGCAGAGGACGAGACGATGTAGAGGCCGCAGATATGAGCTGCTCCACTGTCGCCCAATGCTCCGATTGGGCCCACTCCAATGCCTTCTCCTTATTCTTATTGCGAATAGCTTCGAGTAATGGTAACATGTGATCCTGCAAAATAAAATATTTTTCAATATTATTATTTATCGATATTATTCTCAATATATTATAAAAAATCACATATTATTGAAAATAAAAAATATTCAATAATCAATTGCTCGATAGATACCTTCATTGGATACATGTCCATGGTGGCAATGAAGAGAAGCAAATGGAAGTCGGAAGTTGCCTCCAAAAATTGATCCGCATTGAATTGTTGCATGTAAGTGCACAATGCATTAAACTCCTGAACTTGTCCATCAACTTGTCTGAATTTAAATAAATATTAATGCAATTATATAACTATTCACATATGTGTTAGATATCTGCTTTTACATTTATTTAACTATAGATTATACCTGTTTTCAACTGGAAATGGAGTAATGTTATCATCCGTGAAAAAAGTGAATTGAGGAGTAAGTGGTGTGGATGCAGGTACATCCACCAATAAATATTCGACTGGCAAAGGTCTCGCTAATCTTGTTACTTCATTTCCATATGTGTCTTTTTCCTAATAAACAAAAAAAGTTATATATATATACACATATAATAATTATGTAAATATTATGTGCCAATTTTACACACACACACACACACACACACACACACACACACACATATATATATATGTATGTATGTATGTAAAATATATGTAATATATTTTAAGTATACTACATATATATATATATGTCAAACGCATATATGTAAGTGTAGCCATTACATAAAAATTACATATTTTATTTGCCTTTATCAAAAGATTTGTATACTTTTATAAAGATTTGTATATTTTTATCATCTTTTTAAATGAATCATAAATATTACAGAAAACTCTCTAAATACGAGCAGAGTTAAATTTTCTTCGAGTTCTCTAAATTTTTTCTAGAATATATATGTGATAAAACTTGTGATAAAACCTTTTTAATTTACATTTTTAAGAAAATATAAAGTTATAAATTGTATTTTTCAAAAAAATTCTTTATTAATCAAAATTTTCAAAATAATTCTTTATTAAAAAAATACGAGAGAAAGATGAAAAGAAGCATCATCATGTATAATAAAACTTTACCACTTGTTGCCGAGAGAAGAAAAGAAATATAAATAAATTTCTACCCTCGACGCATTTTCCTACGGGCTTAATAATCTCGTCATAAAGGCGGATTCACAATTCACAAGCCGCCATGACGCGAGGCAAAGTGCGCGATTGGCGATTCGATTCGAACGGACGAAAACGACAATGGCGACGTCGACGGGGAAGACGTATACCGTTGGAACCATCGGACGGGAAGAGGCACGAGAGAGACGTAGAAGGAGACGAACGGAGGCGGGGGGAGCCGAAGGACGGGGAAAGAAGAAGGAAGGGAGGGGAGCGACGAAGCGCGTAAGCGACCAGCGCGCGCCGCGGTGTGTGTCTGTCGGTCGGTCGGTCGGTCGTCGCCGCCATGCTAGTGGTTAGTTTAGTGAACCAAACATCATGATGTGGCAAAACGTTCGCGCGAGCTAAGGCCCGTAGCAGCCACGCCGCGTTAACCGGCACCATCGTCGTTATGTTATCCACAGTAACACTCACGACGTTCGATAAACACGATAACGCGAAAAGTACAAAAAGTATATATACACACAAGACACGCGATATATATAGAGAGGTAAAGAGAGGGTACGTATTGTAGTAAAGAAAAAAAAATAAAACCGTGAGAGAGAGAGAGAGAGCGAGAGAGAGAGAGAGAGAGAGAAAGAGCGAGAGCGCACGATTCGGTAAAAAGACAAATCGCGAATACAACGACGGTAGCGGCGGCGACGAGGACGACGACGGCAACGACACGACGACAACGATAACGACAGTGACGACGACAACGACAACGCAACGGTGTTAGTGGTGGTAGTAGTGCTCGCGGTGGTGGTGGTGGTGGTGGTTGTTGTTCGGTGCGAGCGGAATCGCGCGCGGCACGACGTAAGGCCCGATGTAAATCAAAGCCGCCGCCGCCGAATCGCACGGTCGAACGTACGTCGCGCAGTGAACATCGTCGCGGCACGCGTCGCAAGTGCCGAGTGCCAACGGTCAGCCTCCATAGCGCGGCAAGGAGACGATCGCGAAGCGTATACACGGTACGGAAGCATTTACAGAATTCTATCCGAGAGAGAGAGAGAGAGAGAGAGTGAGAGAGAGAGAGAGAGAGAGAGAGAGAGAGAAGCAGAGGGGAGAGACAAAGAGGAGGATTAAATCGGAACGTTCGAATACATGTGTATGATGCGTGTTGGATGCCTGAGCGGAGAGCGCCCGTGTATGTGCGTGTGCAAAAAGGAGAGCGACGCGTGAAAGCGAGAGAGAACGCACGTCGGGGTGTTCGTGAAAAAGAGAGACGTCGCAGTGCGCGCGCGCGCGCGCCGCGCTCCCGACGACTGGGGTGGGGGAGGAGAGGCGAGACGGAGCGCGCACAACATTCCCGCGGAATCTGACACGCAGTAGTCCGCGAGCGGTTTTCGACCCGAATGTCGGCCCGTCGCGAATCACGATCGGCGTAGCTATCGGCGCAGCCAGGTAACCCTCGACAGCGATAAGGACGTCCGAAGCGTCGCGAACGGGCGCTTTTAAGTAAGCTAGTGTGCGTATGTGTTGTATGCGCGGCGCACGACGTCGCGAAGAAGTGCCGCGAACACTCGATATACGTCCTTCCTCCACCCCCCCTCCCTCTTTGGCGCCTCGCTCCGAGGGATTCGTCCCCTCCTCCCATCTCCCTTGCGTCTGCCGCGCGCGCGAGAGAGGCAACGTCGCGCTTGAAGAATGGCGAATCCTCCGAGCACCCATCCTTCCGATCTGCCCGCCGACGGTTTTGGCGGGATTTCCGGCGCATGCGCGCGAACGGCGTAAAGTGTCATCTTTTTTTCATCTTTCTCTCTCTCTTTTTCTTTGCTCGTCCGTGAGCTCGTAAACGACACTTCTCGAGGCTCCGCTTGTTGCATAATGACTTATCTATCGTGCTGATATCAGGCTGATTGTTGAGTCTACATAACCTCTTTTTTGGGAAGTTTCATTTGTTTGACCGCGTGCACTGCCGGATGATGCGCGTGAATCGAGACTCGAGAAGACACGCGTGTGGCAGCGAGAACATTTCAGTTTGAATGGTATTTGTAGTGTCTCGAGGAATGAGAATTCCTTATTTACGCGCGTGTGTAAACAAAAGAATCCTCATACTTCGGAGAATATGGAGATTTTATATGAAGAATTTATCGCGCAATTGCTCCTTCAAGGGAATATAAGAATTTCTTGTTTACGCTCTCTCTCTCTCTCTTTATCTTTTTGTGTATGCTTGCACACGCTTAAGGAACAACCATCGCTTGAGCGAATCGTGTTGCTCCAAAATTTTTAAAAACTACAATATTGAATAATTTCCATTACGATAAATGATTCCGTATACTTTTGTAAATATATTTAGCTAAAGTACACAAAGAATAAAGAGAGAAAATACCAATTAGTTATAATTATAAATTTGATAATTATAAATAATTGATTGGAGGCATATAATATGTTTGTGTGACTGTGTTCAAAGATTAATATTCGCGTAATGTACTTGGTCAGAAAAATAAAAAAAAATTAATGAACCATATATTCTAGTTAAAGAATGCAAAGTTTCCGATAAGAGTATTACTATTTCCGGACGTTAATTAAAACAGGTAGTGTTATCAAGCTTTAAAATAAGATTCTTGAAAACACAATATTGTTTTCACCATGTAATATATTCGATATCAAATATAAAAAAAACTACGAATAATCTTTTTTAACTTTAAACACTATTAAATAAATCCGAGTCATGATATATTATTATTATACTATTATTATACTGTTATTACACGTATGCACTATTTTTAAAATAATTGCGTAAAATTCTTTTTTAAATTTTGTTTCATGATAAGAATTAAATATAAGTGATTGAAAATTAAAATTCTCGTATGTATATAAATGTGTTTACTGAAGAAAAAAATTAGATGTCGAGATAAATTTCTCAAGTATTAATTATCTTTCAAAATAGAATATTTCAGTTCAATCTTAAAATTGCATTTCGAATAGTATATTATTAAATGTCACATTGTATTTATTATTGTAATTGAATATTTAAGCTAATTAATGAAAATTCTTATGGAAAAATGTGTAAAGTCGAATATCAAGAGTAAACGATGTCGCAGGCGAGTTCAAGTCGGTCGTTCTTTCCCGCCTTTTAGCGGTCACCGTGGTTTCTCGGACCGTGAATCGAACGATCATGAGTGTTTACCACGTCGTCACGTGTACGCCGCGCCCTATCGATTCATTCGCTTCCCGAATCGCGTATTTAAGCCTCGGACGTAAAGAAGCAAACGAACCGGGTCAGCCTTACGTTAAAATGGACATATAAACAATTTGTAGCCGACGTGAGAAGATTTGGTTTGCGCGCGAGAAACGTTTATTAAATGGGGAAGCTCATCGATGACTCGATGACGCACGAATGCGATATGGGTCAAGGAATATGGGCCGACGTAGCGGCGACGACGGTTTCGCGCTGCACGTACTTGAAATCGGGACAGTCCATGGCGGCGGGAAGACAGACGAGTCTACGATGCATAGTAATAATCGTAGTATGTAGTATTAAAGACGGGCTCCCGTGCGAAGAGAGAAAAGGCGGCGACGTGAAATATGGAGCGAGAGAGAGAGAGAGAACAGTGCGACGAGAGAGATAGAGGATGGTCGCGTGTACCGAGTTTGTTTACATACACACGCGGGCGACTACTTGACCTTTTAGGACTTTCCGTCGAAAATGACATACATTGAACGTAATCAGACATTCCTGTGCACACACGATAAAGTTCGCTGTTCGTCAAAGACAGTTGTGAGAGATCTCCTTTATCCTCCTTTATTTTATCATGTTTTCTACAAGTATAGATCTTGCGTTCAATTTAGACCGCACGCAATTCTCGTGTTTCCGTGTCGAGACTCATTCAAGGGGTAAACAATTTCGCGTATCTTTCGCCAAACATTCCCGCCCGAATGTTTGCAAGTTAAGCCTCGCATCAGCGGTGCGAATTAAATTGCCATTTCAATTGCCATTTCAATTGCAATTTCAGGAGCACGAGAGATTGACGCTACGTTCGTAATTTTTACCCCCGTGGCGTGATGTTACTTAAACAGGTAATTCCCGCGTAAAATAAATGAGACAAATGGAGTAATGAATTGTCTACTGCAATGAATAAAAGTTGAAGAAAATTTGATATAGCGATCTCTGCGATAACGTGAAATTTGTGTCGCACGCTGATAGACTTTGATAAAGCAAAATCGATTCGAGTCGTGGCTTAAACTTCGTTATTTCGCGATGTATCTAAATTTAATACATCGATCGATGTGATCAGAATAGCGATCTAATTCCATTACAGCAGAAATTTTATTCCGTTAATACTCATTGTTTCAATACTTGTTACTTATCACGATGTATGTAGGACCTTATGTTTGTCGTGTGTATGTTGCATGCGTGTATGCATACGACGAAATTGCGAGATACGCACGCATGCGTGTGTACATGTATGTTGCACTTCCAGATGCTGGATCCGAGCGTGCTAACGGACCTGGAGGAGCTGACGCTTTGCGGATGCTGCAAGCAGAAGTATAATGACGCGGAGCAATGTCCCAAGTATCTTAGCTGTAAACACTACTTCTGTCTACGCTGCATCGAGAGCAATCTTTTGAAGGGGCGGGATCTGTTTTGCGCCCACTGTTGGAAGAAGACAGACTTGGGCGATCAAGGTCCGGACGCTCTACCAACTCACTCTCCTCTACTTGCTCTGGCCAATAATCTATCGCGTCTCAAAATCACGACGAACAACACGTCCGGCAAACCCGGTGACAAGGAAAGGAAGGTAATGATTCTTCGATGATTCAAACAAGCGAGTTAACTTTATGACACTCAAAATCTCATTTCGATATTCTCCTACTCGTTCAGCAATGAAACGCTATGAAATGCGTAAGAATTATTTCAAATTTATGTTACATGGTTCTTCGAATTAAATTTTTTACAAATTTTTTTACTTTGCATTTTCTTATTTATGTTTGAAAATGTGATATATATTAAAAAAGTATTATATATTTTGAAAATATATTAAATAATTAATTTTGAGACAATAAAATTAAGAAATTACATCGCGAACCTTTGCACGATTATTGATTCACCTAAACGTAAAATATCTTTGCTGGATAAAAATAAATTATATGAAATTTAAACGACGAACAATTATTCGAGAATATAACATTGCTATAACATTGATGATTTTTATCAATCTTGAAAGAGATAGAATATATATCTTTGTTCAAATACAAAATTTACACAACATACGTATATGCGTGACGGAAAAAACGTCGAAGGGAATGCGAAGCTATAAAAGCCAAAAGAGAGAAAACGATTCCGTTAGTAATAGGGTGATATTGTAAGAGCGTTTCTTGATGATTATTTTCGAATCTGTGATAATATCACGATTGTCTCGCGCATATTTCTTTCCTTGAACAAGATATGTCCGAATAAAGTACGTTCGAATATTTCTTTCTCTTCTCTTCTTCTCGAATATTTCGATAAAAACAAGAGATTCTTGAAAGATCGTGGAACTTTGTGTAAACACAAACACGTAAACTACAAGTAGATCGATAATGTTTAATATTTTCGTAGAGCGAGAACTGTCACACACACGGGATGCCGCTGGCATTATGGTGTGCGACATGTTGCACGGCGCTTTGTAGAGCGTGCGCGACTCCACAAGAACACCCGGGTCATCAGATTAAATCGCAAACCGATGCCAAAGAACAGCTCATTTCCGACGTAAGTAGTGATTTCTACTTGTTAGTTTGTATCACCTTCCGTTGAAATTTCGAGAAATAGGCTCGAGAAACTATACATCAGAAAAAACTAATGTTGTAAAAACGCGTGCATTCGTCTGCAGGTTCAATTGGAGTTAGTCGCCGTGGGCAAACTATCGACCGAGATTCAAAGACTGGCTATGCAACAACGCGAGTTTCTGATAAAGGTATTGGAGGCATGCGTGACGTTGAAAACGCACGTGGAGACAGATCTACAGAACGGTTGGAGCCACTTTCCCGAGATAACGGACGCGCGCGAAACCTTGGGCAAGACAAAGGCCGGTTTGCAGATGAGCGAAACTCCGAGCGACGTATACAATCTGCACTCACAGCTGGTTCTAGAGAAACAACGGTTGCAATCCAAGTATCAGGAAATGATGCTGCAATGCCAATTGGACGATCTCATTGGTAATTCTGGCGTGATTTTCGACTTTGCCCTACTGAAACAAGCACTAGCGGGCATTCATACGGGGGATCCGATCGTTCCCCAAGGAGTGGGCAACGGCGGTCGCCTGCCAAATCATTTGGCGGCTTCGCAGAATCCGATACTATTCCTCGCAAATTATTGCATGTCCCAACTGTACACGCGCCATGTCGTCAGTAAGCAACAGCATATGCAGAACGGTTCGATGGAATACCATCACTCGAATATGATGCCGCCGCCGCAACAGGCGCCGCCGGGATCTGTTCACGTTCATCAGGGTCCACCGCCGCCGCCACCGGGTCCGAACCAGACTCCGCAGCAACTTCTCATTCCACCCGGTTCACCGTCCATCAAACCCGTACCGCCCGCACCGCCCAATGCCATGTTACATCCACAGCAGCAATCGACATTCATACCCGACACAGTCGGTACCGGGAGTGCTGGCGGTGGCAGTCTGGTAACTGTACACTCGTCCCCCCAACCGCCGTCCAATGCGATAACGGCGACACTGACACGAGGCCCGGCAAATCCGTATCCTCTGTACTACTTCAATATCGAGGTAAACGGCTCGCCACATGGACGCATCGTAATTGAGGTACGACCAGACGTAGCGCCAAAGATGGCGAAAAACTTCAGCGTGCTGTCAACAGGAGAAGCCGGAGTTGGTTACAAGGGTTGCACGATATTCCAGTGCTGGGAAGGCGAATCCGTGATCACGGGCGATTTTGAGCTTAACAATGGTCGTGGCGGACGAAGCATATACGAGGACGGCTACTTCATGCCAGACGACACCAAGTTCCCGGCGGTCAGGGGTGCGGTGGGAATGAGACGGACGCAGAAGCGGCACGACAACCTCGGCATGGTCGGATCACAGTTTCGCATAATACTACAGGAGATGCGTGGCTTTACCGGCATTTTCGGCCACGTAATCGAGGGATTAGACCTGGTGGAGAAGATATCTACGTTCGGCGATCAGACCGGCAAGCCTACCAAGAATATTCTAATCACGAAGTGCGGTAAATTGTAACGTTTACGCTGTCGCTGTCGCGCGGTTTGTTGTAGCGTGGGGTAAACTCTGTGAGAGAAGAGTATATCCCATACATACATATATATTATTATATAACGCCGTATACACGTTTTCCCGCTATAGATAACTGAAGGAAGGTCGCGACGGTCTTCCCGACTCGCGCGTTCGGCTGAGAAGGAAATTTATACGTAAGAAGAAATACAAAAAGATACGCGTTACACGTAATTGCCCAACGATGGGAGACGATTATTATTAGAATTATTATGTCCGCCGCGTACATCCACTCGGGGACACCGTCGCGACACGTTTATCCACGAATCCTCCGAACGCTCCGTACGAATCACGCAACTTAATTAACTATTAACAATAGCGTCTAAAGATGTCGAGTCTATTTTTAAATCGTGGGCGCGTGCGAGAAGAAAAAGAAATAAAAAAAATCCATATTTTGCTATTGACCGGGAATCGATATGAGATTCTGCTAACAATAATGATGATCGAGATACACACATATACACATACGTACCTCAGAGATCGACCGTGATATCGATACGACTTCTCTAGCTGATACGACGTATTTGTTTTTAGGAAGAGAGAGGTCCAACGTTTATTTTGGCTATTATCGGCGTTAACTCTGCTAAACTACGTTATAGTTCTTAGAGCGCGTATCATGCGTCGGGCGTGATATAGTGGAGAAGATACCGTGCGATTCGCGGCAAACAGTTCTCCGCCCGGCTCCGTGTACGCAGCTAATGTTTTAGGTCGTAGATAGATGAATAAAAGGAAAACGTATAGACCGGGGAATTTAAGTATAGAAAACTATATCGGGAATTAACCGAATCGCGTTTCGCGTTTACGCGATATATATTTGGGAAACAGAGGCGATGATAAACCTGCGCGCGGACGGATGTTTGACCCTTTCTCGATTACTTTTTTTTTTTTTGTGGGCGAGCCAATCGCAGGCGGGCATCTTCGCGACTTTATATGCTAAAAAGTCGCGGCTTGCGCGATTCTATACAAAACGCAAGATTTGTTGTTTAGAATTTTAGATTCCGAAAAGAAGAAAAAAATATTGGTATAGTTAATCTCGTAGGAGGGCAATTTGCGGTTCGTCGAACACGATGTATCGCGTATCGTTCCGTTCCAGGGGCGCGAGGAAAAGAGCTAAAAGGGAAAAGAAAAAAAAGAAAAAAAGAGATATTCATCGCGCGCGCGCGTCTTGCGAAGAAGTCTTGTGATTCCGCTGCACGAATACTAGTGGCGAACTTGTTCCCTTTTCGTTCTTTGTAAACTAGCGAACCGTCGTGAATTATATCTGTATTTAAGATTAGATCTCAATACGTCGCAAATGTATGCAAGGCCTAACTACTACTATGTAGATTGTAAGCCTCGTGTCGTCTAATCGGAAAACGAACGAAGGAAACAAAAATGTGCGAATATATATATGTACATATATATGTACATATATGTACATGTACATTAAACAAATCATTCCTATATATCGTACTACGATAATGTAATTGCGTTATAACTACTCGTCTGAATTCTCGTAATGAAGTCCCATTATGTATCGTTATATATACACTGTCACACGCGCGCGCGTGCGAGAGCGAACGCGTCTTTCCCTCTCTCTCGCGCGTACAAGTCAAGGCACACTCACGCGTTACCGTAATAGCAAAAATTGCACGCCCTCGCGTCGTCGCGGATATGCCTTCTCGAAGAAAAGCCTCATTCGATGTTGAACTTGAAAGTTTTAACACTTGTTGATTAGCTAATAAAAAAAAAACGCGTCTTTCGCGATCGACATTGCGATGATTGACACAACGCGAAATGCGTCGCGTTGTGTGTCGTCTTTAGGAATAAATATAACTCGCTCCTGTACATGTACAATATTATTATATACACGACGACCGTAAGCGGGGGTGGCTGTGTGTTCGAACGGATGGATGAATGAACGAATTTTCTCGTTTCGCTTCCGAGCGAGGAAGACTCCGACAAATTGTAACTCTTAGTACGTAATCGTAGAGACGCAATCGTGAGAAGAAAAAAAAGAACATATTGTACCGAAGCGAGTAACGATACAGACCCACCTGTATACATATATACATACATACATACATACATACATATATACATACGTACGTACGTACATTCATACGTACATACATACATACATACATACACACATACATATATAAACACATACACACATATGTACACGGATATCTCTATGTGCGCGCGCGTATATATATACAAATATATAAACATATATTTTTATGAACGTGATGAGGTAACAACGCATAGCTTGTAATATCGATTCTAACGACCGACCGATTTATCTTGTCCCTCGCGTGCGATTAAACGATTGAGCGGCTGTAAGCATTTGGACAAGTTCTTTCCTCTCGTCTTTCTACCTCGCTATTTTGTTTTCTTCCTTATCTCTTTTCATTACTTCCGTTCTGTCCCTCTCTCTTATCCTCCTCTCGAGACGTAATGATCATTGAGAATGCAAAGATCGTGACTATTTTTTTTCAGGTTCGCGGTAATTACACCGTAGAGAGCCATCGTTTAAACGAATTTTATTATTTCATTATACATGTACGAAGTGAACGTTTATCGCCTCAACTTAAATGTACTTTTAATCAATCGATTTTGAGTTATAAACTGTTCTCATTTCATATGAGTATTATGATTTGTGTGTATTACCCTTATACCTATAGGTATATCTTAAGTTGTGCGATAAAATTGCATAACTTTCAATAAATATTAAGTTACGATAGGCATAAAAAAATTCAAAGGCACTCGTTCGATATACATATACAAAGATATAAATCGAAGTGATTCAAAAAACGTAATCGAAGAGAGAATGAAACCGATATATTCGAACTTACCTTGTAGAAGACATCCGGAACATATTGCTTATCGGTCGACTCGATTACGTAGCCCAATTCCGGTGCGTCTTTTGTAGGAACCAAACAGCCATCCCGTACCAACGCCATGCATTGATTGGATACCTGGTATCCTTCCATGTGTACTTGATTTTTATCATCACCTGTAATTTACAGAAAAACCGCTTCTGACAATTGTAATTTTACATGGCGTTTGTAACGGATATTTCGTAACAGATAAGAGAAAGAAGCGTAATTAATATGTATTATTAAGTTGATCAAAAAAAACTCGTTCGCCTTTTCCTATGTAGCTCTAAAAATCTCAAAAATAAAAAAAGATAAACTTTTAATCAACTTAATATTTTTAAAGGAAAAAAAAAGTATCTATTGTGTATATCGTGAATTAAAATTGACTTACCTGTGACGCAAACAGTTACAAATTTTGAGCCGAATAAACCATTAGGCGAGAAGCGGCAGAGGTTTGGATATCTGTTTTGAAAATATCCAGCCATGATGCATTCTTGAGCAGATAGGAAATGGCTTTCTATATTGCGAACGTGTTTGACCTGATCGAATAAAACTGAGAGTGTTAATCGCCGTACATGTGCGAATTCGGTATACGAATATTACATAAAGAAGGAAGAATATATCAAATTACCGTTCCCTTCTTGACATCGTCGGCTATGAGATCGGTAAAAATCCATCCGATTCTTCTCAGATTAAGTGTCCGGCCTAATTCCTCGACTAACGCTTCCCTCTCGTCCGGCAAAAGTCTTATCGTATCTTTTGTACTTTCCTGACCAATCACAATGCGAATATATTATATTCATTCATCAAAAATGTGTATGTTTATAGATTTGTCGAAGATTGTGCACGAGCTCTACGTACCTGCGGTGGCTCGTATATAGCCGCAACGACTGCTCTAATTCCTAGCGGGACATCCGAGTGTACTTCGTATCTTCCGTATAGAAAACCGATACGCTGATGCCCAGTGCTACGCCAGTAATTAAGAAAACGTTCTACTAAACTAGCATTTTCGAACATGACATTATCCACATGTCGATAAGTCTGGCGGTTCAAAGTGATCGAGTTCGGTTGGCACTTGCTGCAGATCCCTCGCGGCCATGGCGGATGATCCTTGCAGCCAGTCTTTATACGGCAGCTTATGTCGTCTAATTGTATAAACTTGCCCCTGCGACAAATATATACAAGATACAGTCGAATACTCTATAATAATGTTTGTACAATCATTGCACATTTACGTACCTATCAACTCCGGCAGTGAGCTTCCTGAGATGTGAATGAAAGGACAAATGCTTGATATTTTGTTCTTTCAGATAAATCTCGTCGAAAGGTTCCAGAGGCGAACAATGCACGCAACATCCTTTAGCTCCATGTCGACAGCTGCAAAAACACGTGTATTTATTTTTGTTCTATCTTTCGATATTATTTTCGAATATTTTTTGATTTCTTACAGTTTTTCGTCACGTTTGCGCTGAATTTTTCCCTCCAGCTTCCATAATTGCTCGTCGACATCATCCTCGACTACATTTGTCAAAGATCGTGAAAGACCAGATGTACGATTTGTAATTCCATTTGTAGTATCAATTGGCGCTGGTTCTATGTTTAAATATATAAAATATTAGTGAAATGATCTTTGATAAATAAAATGATGATCTTTGATATAAATAAAAGAAATTTATATATATATATATATATATATATATATATATATATATTTGATATGTACATGTGTGGATAATTTTTTCTAAATATAAACTTATAAATATATATTTTTGTAGTTATGTCTGTGTTTAATAGTTTAATATTGTTAATATCAATGCTATTATCTTTTTTAATATATTATGTTATGTTTTTATGTGTAATAATTTTGTAATTATCATTTATGTAATAATTATAAGATTATCACAAGAGATCAATTAAGATTAATATTAACAATAATAAACTATACATTTTTTAATTTTATAATTATTACATTTATTATGTAAGAATTTTGCTTTATTCGATCAATTTCAAATGACTTATATTCTATATATTGCAAGTTTATCAAATGTATAATTATATAAATAATTATTTATACCTGCAGAAGCATTGGAGGCACTGCTGGTTGACGGAGCACTCCATAGTTGGGTGCCATTGGCTGGCACAAGGTAAAGCATATCTCCATGGGAAAGACCTGTCCCTAACACAGTTCTACTTCGAGTAGATGTAAGTGGCTCTTTCTGATTTCGTTGCTTACATAAGTTAAATCCAAAACTATTTAGATCAAAAGCTTCGTACACCTAAAAGGTTACCAGAATAAGTTTCCAAACATTATTCTAAAATATGATACATATATAAGAAAGTTTATATCTTTCACATATACCTTTTCATAAAGTCGAGAAAGTGTATCGGAAGCTAGCACTTCTATACGCTTTGTTCCCTCTGATGACTGGACGCGTAGAATCTGGAAGTGAATAAACAAACATATATAATAGGCAAATTTATATTTCTTTAACAAAAATTAATTTTTCTGAACATATATATTTATACCTGTATTATAAAACAAAATTGTCTACAACAAAACAAGCAACATATTGTAACTTTGCACATTATTCAATTTTCATTCATATATAAATGATACTTATATAAAGATAGAATATATATATCTGATCATTTTTACATAAAAAATTTTCCAGATAAATCAAATATATTTATATTAAACAAAGAGCGAATTTTTTAATTTCTTTGTAAAGGACATTCAATTAACTATTTGAAAAATTATCGTATCATAAAAATAGATATTATAAAGAGATGTTAATACGAATATTTGATGTAAAGCATTCACGCTTATATAATTTATCAAATAATTGTAAATAATAAAAAAACGTGGTAGAGGCAACATCACGAGAGGGCCTGCATCAAACCGAATTCTGTCGGTTACGTCCTAGAATTGATCGCAGATACATTGCGCTGCAATTGCGTGGGGATTACAATGAAATAACCGATGGAAGGCGATTCGGAATCGTCCTCGCGATCAATTCCGTGCCGCCGCGATGACTTACAAATTGCCCGGGTTTTGACATTTCGCCGGTGTGGTGTGGTGAATCAGCTGTTCAATCTTGCTGTACCGTACGGCCGCACGAGTGCGCGGGCGGCGCCAAAGTCCCTAGCGCCAAAGTCGCGGCGACGCTCCGCACGAGAGAAAAACTGTCGAGTCAACGTCAGGGGGTCGGTGGGGTTCAACCTAACCTCGTCGCACACCTCGGGTGGCGAGCGATTCCTCGGCGGGCGATGCCACGGCTACCGAATACCGATGTCGCCGCGCGACTGCTCCCGCGACGTCTGCCACGCGCACACGCACTATCCTCCTAGTCTCGCACCGTTGTCCGTTGACGCGCCGCGTTCCTGTCGCTCTCTATAAACGAGACAAGAGTCAGCTGAGCACGAGCGACGCACGAATCGTCACCGTCACGCTCGACGCGATACACAACGAACACGCACGAGGGACCTCGACGACTAACTAGGCAACCATCCTGCCCCACTGGTGGTCGAGCGAGTACCGAGTCGAGTCGAGTCGCTGTGTACGCGTCCCTCTGGGAGGCTTTTGTCGACGCTGGGTAAGTTTTGCTTGGCGCGCTCTTCCGCCGTGCGACTTGGCCCTCTCTCTCTCTCTCTCTTTCTTTTTTTTTCCCTCTCCGTCGCTGTCCGTCGATCGAATTGCGTGATCGCGCGCGCGCACGCGATGACAAGGACGACGAAGACACCGATGCGACTTTCGCACAGTGCGACGAGCGCTTTCTCTCGCCGAGCGATTTCCGACGCGTTGCTCCGCGCACTATGCAACCTGCGCTACGGCGGGATGAAAGCGGACGCCGACCCCTGGCGCTCTTTCGAAAGCACGCCGTCGATATATCTATATATACGAGGAATCGGTATGCGCGTCGCGCGCTTGCGACGCTGCGCGCGGCATTCGACCTCTTTCTTGCGTGTCGCGCGTTGCGTGCGCTCACGATCTGCATTTTCCCGTACGCAGCGATACTCGTACGACGTGATAAGGAGCTCCGTTATCCGAGAGTCACAACGATATCGTGTAAAAAGAATGAGATTTTTATTATACTTTTATACCATTTTCTTTCGCTCTTACTTTATCCTTTATTTTTTGCATTTATTTAGTATTTCTTATTTTTCTCAGTTTTCAAAGGAATTTGATTAATAAAAGATTCTCATCACGATTATGTACGAATATCTCCATCTAATTTTTTTATTATACTTTTATACCATTTTCTTTCGTCGCTCTTACTTCATCCATTTTTTGCATCTATTTAGTATTTCTTATTTTTCTCAGTTTTCAGAGGAATTTTATTAATAAAAGATTCTCATCACGATTATGTACGAATATCTTCATCTAATTATTTTTATTTACTATTATGCGTAATGCGTGTAATTTTGCTCAACGCGAAGAATTCGATGCGATCATACCGTTGAGGTGAAAGTGACGCTTCGAACTAGTCGCGAATTGTTATCTGGTCATGGCCATGAAGCCGGCAATCGCCGACACTTTACCAGGTGATCGTACTCGGATATAAATAAATCAGACACTGGCATGTCTCTTTTGTCAGTGGGCGACAAATTTTACGATGTAATTACGCGAAACACGTTTTACCAATGCTTGCCTATATGAATATTCGTTTCGATAGAAACTTAGTTGTTTTACTTTCGTAAAATTATTAAGAGAAAGTCTTGCTTGTGTTAAGTAAAAGTAGTCTTAAATTTTGCATGTCGTACAATTTTTGCAAATTTTTACCGTGCATTAATAAACACATAATTTTAGCGATTTAACTTTGATTCTGAAGATTCTTTCTTGTTAAATTTTGTAAATAAATGATTTCCAAGAAAGATTGTAATATTTATTTTATAATTTATTTGTTAACGCGCGTATCAATCTAAATTTAAAAAAGAACTTGAAAAAATATTTTCTTTCTGTTTGGAGATTCTGTCTCGATATTTTTCGGAAAACGAGGAATTATGATGTCGTATGTAATGTATTTTTGTATGAGATGCGCGACTCCAAAATGTATCTGCCAGCATCTCTAGCCAACATCCATTATATTTCGGAATAACTGTGAAATCAGAAGGAATGTATAAAGCGCATCGAAAAAAATACACCTACAATAGATAGCATATTGCACACGAGAGTTGACGAAATGTCTGCGTCATTCAACAGAGATGATTCAGCTAACGTATACGCGGCTCGACTTTTAATCCTGCTGACGCGCGTTTCCTTGTTTCCCCACTCTATCGATCGCACACGGGGATAATTGCGGGCAACTCGTTCCATTAATCGCGTTGTAAATATTAATGGAATGCATGAGTTCTCGTCAGAACGCGAATGCCGAGCAGGCGAGTCCGCGCGCGCGTTATGATCCTCTTACCTCTTTACCGTTTCTTCCTGCCAAGAACGACTACCGCGCCGTGAGAGAGACTCCACGGGCCGCGGAGGCCGCGTATTCCGGTGAGGATTTCGGCGCGATCAGTTGCATTTGCTAGCCGGTAGCCATCTAACGCATCCCTAGTCGAGAGATAGCTCGACTTACACGCGCGCCAAGTTCTCTCCTCGTCGTGATCCATCATCGATAGCATCGGTTGCTGTCATCGTCGTCGTCGTCGTGATCGTCGTTCGCCAGGAGGCCCGCTGCCCCTGCCCTTCCCCCACCGAGGACATATCCGATAATCGATCCACCTGTTAACGGTCAATGAAAGGAAGGTAGGCTTTTGGCCGCGCGAATTGGCTCTTCTTGTTCCTTTTAAGTGGTTTATAAATATAAGTGTTGCTTATCCTTATTATTTGTTTTTTGAGTTGTTTAATTTGCCTCTTAATATTAGTTTGATTCTAATATCGAGATAATATTTTTTTTATAGATTATATAAAAATTTGATATTTATATGTGATTATTATTATTTATGCATGATTAATATTCTTTTCAAACAGCGTATATTTTTTGTAAAAGTAACTTATTCTAGTAAAAAATCGTTGCTACATAATGAGTAGAATTTCAAAATTTCGATATTCGAGTCATATAAGTTATGCAAGATTAATTTTAATACAGTTAATTTTGTTGATGATATTGATATTTTAATTAGTGATATTTTGACGAAGCCAATTAAATATATTGATTTGTTACTATTTTCTTTATTATTTACATCATTTAAAATTTTCTATTAATATCTTATTAATTTATAATTTTTATACTGTAAAATTATAAATTTTATTCATATGATAATGTAAATAAATTAGATTTTTTCCAATGCTTCGTTGAACTTTACGGAGATTTTTAAAAAGTCTAATAAAATCTTATGATCTCTAATCTTGTCAACCGAATATATTTTTCGCGAGTCTATCATTGGCATCATTCACATTACTGACATCATTCAAATTATGCATACAAACGTCAACGTCGATTCAATCTAATGCTCGTTACTACATATTTACGATCATACAATATGCATACGCAATACTATCTTCATTTTGTTTATATGCAGATTTCAATTATCGTATGTTTTCTGATTATAATTCTCAATATTGCGTTTTCATAACTATTTTAATTTATAAACTCCTGTCATAACTTTTTTCTATTAAAATATTTTTTTGATATTTCAGTTTTTTTTAAATATATATAAAAACTTTATAATTAATTTAAATAAATAAATATATATATATATATATATATATTATTAATTTTAATTAATAATTTTGATGAGATCTGTTTATAGTTGTTATAGATCGAAAAATATTTGGATTCCTCTGAATTTGTCGATATTTTTTTAATTATACGAGAACAAATCAAATGATTTACATTAATAAAAGGACTGATAGTTACGTGACATCTCGTACATACATAAACGCGTCTAAATTGCTGATTCATCGCGGTTTTATAACGCGTGAAATCCATAATGCTCATCTCGTTATATCGTATTAGATGATTTTCTGCGACGAATTTTTCTTTTTTTTAAACTATTGCATTTAGCTTTATAAGTACACGATAGAAATATCTTAAGATTTTATAAGTACACGATAGAAATATCTTATATAAAAGAAACTTTTATTACATTATCTAAATCTCAAATGACGTAGAATAGGTCACAGAAAATGCTATATTTTCCAAATTATTTTCTCATAAAAAAAATTCCGAAATTATTCCGTAAATAATGCAGATCTTTGGATATTATTTATCAGATTATTTATGATGAATAAAAATAATATTATTGTTAATAAAAATAATAATATTGTTATAACGTGCGAAGGCGGAGATTTTCTCTCTAAAATTATTCAAGATATAGATAGAGATTATCTTAGAGGAGTTTGACCTGAGATCTTTATTTTTGGCACTTATAACCTTCTTTATATGCTGTGGTCGATTAGATATGCGAGCGATATATTTGAAGTCGCTTCAAAATACAAAACATTTTCTTCATCGTTTTTTTTAGAATAACGCAGAAAAGGGTGTTTTTTGAAAGACTTTAGGTCAAATGCGGTGAGCGTAGTTCTTTGCTTGCTCGCGATGAGTAGTGTATTTGCGTCTTCGAGTTACGTAGGGCAAAGTCCAACATTTAAGGTATGTCGAAACGTTTAGAATGATTGAGATTTTATGTTTATTTTTAATTTTCGATATGAACATTCCGACCGTTTGAAGAAAAACGTTCTTGATAGAATCGATTCTATCAATTATTTCACAAAACGTCTCGATTATTTTGATTCCATTTTGGCTAATGATACGGTTATTATATTTTGACTAATTGTATCGGTTGTTTATTCTTGATGGATATTTTTCAATTTATCCTGATTTTGAGGAAATCTGTCTTATAGCTCATTTTATTATTATTATTATTATTCAACATTCTGAGAAACATGACTTGGCATATAAACTTGATATAAAAATGACTTGGCATATAAACTTGATATAAAAATCGAATTCGAAAAAGTCGATGGATAAGTGGGAGACAGACACGTGGACATTTTGACGTCAATAGATATAAAAGTTAAGAATAAAAGAGCGAAAGAATTTGATGGAATATTCAGCGAATAATGTTGGATTTTTAGATTGCTTGAATTTTTAGAGCAATTATATTATTTATTTGCGACAATATATATGTATTACTTGATAAATAATATTCTTTTTCAGAATAATATGGAAGACTCGGAAGACGTGAGGACGACAGTGGAGTTGTACATTTACGATCTTACCAAAGGGATGGCTACAATAATGTCGCCGATGCTCATAGGTAAATATGATGAAACAATAATATGATAAATAATATCAATAGATAAATAATATCATACACAATAGTATTCATGCAAATTATTAATCTATATTTATCTTTTTTTCAATTTGATTTTTGGATTTTATCAGAAAGATTTTATGTTTCATGGCATTTACACTTCGCATAGGAGATTATTAATTTTTGTCGTACTTTCAAAAATTAATTTCTAAATTTAAAGCTAAATTTATAGGCATAATGAAAGATAGTGAGAGGGACTCTTTCCAAAGTATGTCAAATCATATTGATTTAAAAGATCGAAGATTGAATCAATTAATACACATGACTAACAATATTACACATGACTAACAATATTTAGAAGAAGAATGCTATGCATCGCTGTTTTCATCGGACGCAATTTTGAGCTGTTTTACCTTGAGCTGGCGGAATGTTATTTAAAGATGTAACGTGGCGGAAAACATCTTTCTTTGTTATATACGTTACAAAAACGGCAGAGGATCAGAATTTTGTGTCTTTGAATTAAATGGAGAACAAAGAAATGTGAAAAACGTACAAAAAAAGAAACTAATATATAAGTTTTATTTGACATATAATATATAAGTTTTATTTGACATATATAAAGTAAGGCAATATTTTACAAGAATTTTTATCTTGTTGTTTTCAATTAAAATTTCTCTAACATAAATCTGGAAATCTAACATAAATCTATGGCCATTTTTGTTTTAAGTATATATTTAATATTGAAGAATTATATGCAGGTTTAACTTCATAAAAAAGGAAGCTAACATAATCGATCATTTCTTGTTCAATTCTGCCAGTCATGCATAGTCATAATTCTTGGATATCGTTATCGTTGTACTCATTCACAATTGTATTAGCTCAACGCAATACTTTCTCATCTCTACTCTACAGCAAGAGAAATCGAATGTCGTTTGCACATGATGACATGCGCGATTCTTGCCAAATTATATGACGATTTTGGATCAAAGACGATTTAAATATAAACAAGCACTTCGAAGGAATCGGTGACACTTTGGGCGATGATGACTCAGAGCGGCTACGTGTCGTCGTTTATCGATTATTCTCATAACGGACTAATTGTTGGCGTTGCGCTGCATGTGTATCGGATGCAATAAAAATGTGTCAAGAAATTACAAGTCGTAAATCACATTGGATATAAAGATAAAATATAAAAAAGCGCGTGAAATATATATATATATATATATATATATATATAAAATTAATAATATAATATATAAAATAAGTAATATAATATAAATAAATTTGCGATCAAAGATATTAAAAGTAAATATTTAATTCTTAGAAACTTGAGAATAAAAATAACGATAATAAAAATGACAATCACAGATTATTTGCTCCTTCATAGTGGAAGTGCATGTAGACACAATATGCTCGGGATAATTTAAAGAATTGCGTATGTGCAACGAGATGCGGAAGTAACCGGAAATAATGCCAGAGTGGATGCTGCTGGATGCTCCCAATACATAGAAAATTCCATGTGAATGGCACGAAGCACATATGCGGACCAGTTTACGCCACGTGTCCATGGTTCGCTCGCGCACTTTCGAGCATTCCGTGCATCTATTTTCGAGTGCATAGAGTGCATAGTATGTATACGTGATTGGTATCCCGCGGTTTGTTCCAACACTGAGAAAAAGCCTCATTCGATCTAAATAAATTGGCAATCCTCCTGGATCGAACGAATGTCAAGTGAAACTCGCGAATATCGCGGAATGATTATTTCGCAAATAAATTATATGGAAAAAACATGAACGCGAAATTTAAAAAATATCCTCTCATTGAAACGAAGGAATATATCGCATTCAATTGTTTCATAAATATTCTATTGTATTTGCAACATATGAGAATTATGAGATTGTGGCTTCACAGCCACAGATTCGTCACAAGCGTCGACAGCGTTTCATTTCGCGCATCGTTCTGGAAGTAATTATAACGGCCAGGTTATTTCTTGCGAGGTCGACACTCGGAGGCCCGAGTGCAATAAGAAAGTCACAAAACGACGTGTGTACGCGGATGTACTTAGCTATTTCCGCGATGCAGAACTAGGTCGAAGAAGGCACATATACGAGTAAGTCGAGCTTTATCCGGGCCCGCGAGTTTCGCGTTTTATGCCTAGATCTGTATTTACGCGATGACAAGTCGCGATGATTATTATCATCTCTCTCTGTCGGTCCTTGAATAAGAGTATCGGCGAGCTTGAGCTTAATCGTGTCTCGAGGTTGCTTTGTTGGATCACGCCCGGAATGAAAATAGAGAATAAATTTACACAATCTCAAGGAATTTCCTGGATTTGAAAATTTGAATCCAGTTAATCTCCTAGTTTTCAAAACGGCTGTTTAATTTTCTTCTTCTTCCCTTTTTGTTTCACAATCAGTATAATTTAATTTATTACATAAATATTATTATTCTTCTTATTTTGTATGTGTATATTATCACATTATCATTACAATTATTAATTGTTCATCAACTTTAATTTAAATTATGTTTTTAATTTAATTATTTTATTACTAAGAAGGACTTTATTCATTAATAAAAAAATGTTACATTAAGAAAATGATATAAATATATGATAATGTGTTCGAATAATTCTATGCAAATACATTTTCTTTCGATTTGTTATCATTAGAATATTAATTTTCCATTCTGTTTGCAGGTCGTCAGTTGGATGGAATATGGCATACGGCAATAGTCACATATGGAAGGGAATATTTCTTCGGTCCTGCCGGCATCAGTAGTGTCCGACCTGTAAGTATCCTTTTCCACAATCGTATAGTTCGATTATCGGGATACGATCGATCGTTTGATAGCGATGTCTGCGTTGAATGTTAAAGAAATATAAACGCAGATTTTTCATTTAGTCACGCAGATGGTCCTCATCGCGACGTATTCGATATTCCACCCGAGTGCTTTCTTTTCTCTTCGTGAGTATTTTTTCGCGCGGTAGAAACATAGAGTAGAGAAACATCAAATACCACCAATATCAACAATAAATTAGTTAAACATCATATCCTGCCACTGAGTAACTGCTGCAAGCGAGATTTCTGTTTGCTAAATAAATATTAGATCTCTCTTCCTCTATCTCTCATAGTATTTTCCAACAGTAAACAGCAACATTTCTTTTCATTTACACGTTATTGCACAATTGAGTGTAATATTAATAACATGAGGAGACTCCTGACAGATAGATAGACATATGAAGAAATATTACACTGCATTCTTTGACATCCAAATAATGATAGACATTGCTGTACAAACCTAGCTTAATTCGTCGAGAAGCAAGACTCTCTTGGACGAAGCAAAAATACAGATTTTTTTTTCCATATCGGAGATATTATTCTTCTTTCGTATTCTTGAATCTAAGAATTTTACATGATTGTACCGATAAAAAATTCCGAATCATTCTTCTCGATGAGTGTTTTCGGGGTGAACTCGTGCGTGAGGCAAATGCGCTTCACCGTCATCGCGTGCGACATCGTGAGGAGGGGGAGGGTGCGGGCGGAGTGCAATATAAATAACCGGGGCGCGCTATCAACGAGCGAGAGAATTAATGGTCCCGCTGCTTCCCGTCGCTGCTTGGTGCACAGAGACCTATCGGGGAACGTCGATGCATCGTCGACTCGCGACCCGGAGTCGTGACCGATTGGAAGGCCTAGTCGTAGAGCGGTAGAGTCCCTCGACGGGCCATACGATACGCTAGATACGCGCGGGAACTAAATTTGGTGCGGTCCGATCCAAAAATAATCCCCGCTGCACGTACACGCATGCACGCACACATACGCACACTGGCACGCACGTATACAATTGCTCTTGCTCTCTCTACAATTGCTCTTCGTCTCTCTTTCTTACGACTCTCTTCCCGTCTTATACTTTACGCATCCAGATTCGACGTAAGGCGAAGGCTGCCGGCAAGGTAAGTCTATCCCGTGCTTACATCCCGCATGCGACAAAATGTTTTCCAATCGTCGGTGTAACTAATTGCTCCAGCTGTGTGGCATTAACTGCGTTAACTTTCGTTGAGATATATATAGATGGTGAAATTAGAGAACAGTTCTCCCTGAAACAATTTTCTCGTGCTTCACTCGAGTCCGGGCAAACTTAAAGTTTTGGGCTCTCCGGAGGAGAAAAATGAGACATGAAACAGCGAAAATTACTCGAGATTAAAATACAGCGGGAGAAGATATAGTTTTCGAATAACTTGATTATCTCTTCTTAACGAGTTAAAAAAAGAATTGGTTCTGGAAATATCAAGTTTTGAGAGGCGTTCATATTTTCCTACGACATGAATGTAGATAATCGAAGTGAACACTAAAAATAAAATTCCAAGTTATCGGTGTGGTATTAAATAATTATATTTTTGTATAGAGAAATATAGATATGATGATTTTAACGGTTGATGTAAGTTTAAACAGTGCTTTAAAAAACTTAGAAGGAATGTGTCTGTCTGAAGTTACATTGTCTAAAGCTACATTGAATATATTTCATTTAATAATCGCGACACCGACGCGCGTCTAAAAACAACGCAGTGAAATCATTACAATTGTATTACTTTATTCGACTAACATGCTTTAAATACGCGTGAGTACGCGTGACTAACGCGTGCATAATTGTAACACGCGTTACTTTACGACATCATGAAACCGATGTAACTGTCACACTCATTTTCACCCACGAAACTGTGAAGATGACCGACTCCATATTTCAAATGCTATTTTGCATATTTCTAACATATTCTTCCAAGATAAAAATGTTCATATCTTATCTTATATATATATATATATATATATATATATATATATATATATATTTATTAACAAAAGTTATTAACAAAGTAATTGGTGATTAATTATTTGCAAATTAATTACGAATGTCTGCTGATGAATGATTATCTGTCTAAGTATTTAGACACGATTATCTCTATTTGAAACACATTGCAACCTCCGTTTGCTTTTTTTTACGTATTTTCTACCTTTTTTTATGTGAGAGCAAGATATGTGCATAGAACACGTTATAATCTACGTAATTGTTATTGCTTTCCTTTTCTGACAAAAAACTGTCATAATTCATCATTTATACAACGTTTGCAATCAGCTGTTCGTGACATATATGCCCATTCTTTCAAATTTCACCCATTTCCTCATGATTGGTCTCACGTTCTTCATTATCATCTCCTTTTTAAAACATTATTCAAAAATTTGGTCAAAATCAACATTAATATTTTCTTTTTATTATGAAAAGCATTTTCATACATTCATACGTTCAGAAATTGTGAAAATCAATTCTTTCTAAGAGAGATGCGACATTTCTTTCCAAAATTATCGCTATCGCATCATTCATCTTTTTTTTCCTCGGGTGGCAAATGTAAATCGTCGAAAGTGCGCGCGCCGCTACATGCGTGCTCCGATCATCCTTCATCGTCGGCGTCTCGTTCGCCGGCTCCGCCGCAGCATCTCCGAGCACCCGCGGCCGACAGTCCGCGTGCGAGTCGTTTCCCGCTCTCGGAAGCGCTCTTGAAGGAAGTCGCGCGAAAGTTTTTTTCCTCTCCTTTCTTCTCACCGATCGGTGATCTTGCGAATTTTTCCGATACGTAAGTGAATCGCATCGGTATCATTTTGCGCGAGTGAATAAAGTGTCGAGCGATATCGAGTCATCTAGAGGTACGCTTAAAAGGGAACAGAATGCGATTTTAGAGCCAAGATTTGTGAAGATGAATCGAAAAGTCAATCTGAAAGCTAATTTTTAGATTTTTAATTTTTCGTCCGTGATTAGAATGATTCTCAATAATTGTAATTTGTGAAATAATACAGTTAGATTTCGGTTTTTAGCCTTTCTTAAATTCGAGAGAGACACAAAATTTAGCGATCAATTAATTTGATGTATTAATATACTAATTAAATATAATAATATTCACCCGTAATACTCATCAATTCTTATTTGCATATCTTGACTTTTGAGAAAATTTTTCTACGATTTATCTTCATTTTTATTAAACATTTTATCCATCAGCATTATTAAATCTATACTTTTTGTTTATGCTATTTTCAAGATTATTAAATGACCTCGTGTTTTTGTTTCTGAATTTGTTATTGAATTTCTCACATCTCTCAATACGCATCAATTCGTTATGTCTTTTGACATAAATAGAATTTATGTATCACATTATTGACATATCTCCATATATATGCGATTCAATCCTCTCAAAAGATCCAATTCCATCAAAACCTTCAGAACATGTAATAAACACTTTGTTCCCGCTTCTTCCCGGTTTCTCTTCATTCTTCACTTCCGTCACATCCTTTTTTTGCGTTCTAGGAGAGATCGAGATCGCACCTCTAACGCGTGCCGTGGGCGTCTATTTTCGGCGGTTTTTCGTAGGGAAGTGCGGAGTTGTCGTAGTTCTAAAATTACGTGCCTACTAATGTCAAGAGAGGGTGGTACATTCTCTATCTACCTTTCCCAATCTGTTTCTCTCTTTCTCTCTCTTTCTTCCTTCCTTCTGCTCTTCTGGCGAACGAAACTCGCTGCCGAATCGGTGCAGCTGTCGCGAAATTGACATTGTCGACGCGACGCGATTTTTCCGGACGTGATTTTAACGCGATTTGAACGTCGGCATTTCGTGTTTCAGGGCGGCACGGAATTAGGGGAGCCCCAGAGAATCGAAAAGCTCGGCGAGACCTATCTGCCCTATACGGTTTTCCTGGAGTACATAAACGGCCTGGGCACTTCCACATTCGCGTAAGTATCATCGGTCAAGAATTGCCTCGTTCGGCATATATCGTTTGTCTTCCAACGTGTCATTCTACAAAAATAGAGTTTAAGTTTTGGAAATATACAAGGTAGATGTCATAGTCGTCTTTTAATAGATGTTTTTTGACACCTATATCTTTTTGACCTATAGCTTATTATTTTTAAATAATTTAAATCTCCTTTTTTTAAATTATTATTAAAAATATCTTGTATTTTTATATATTTTTATATAAATCTTCTTTTTCAGAGAATCTTTTAATTTTATCGCGTGAGAATTATTTGATTTTATTTATAGTATTTATTTATTTTTGCTATTTCGGAGAATTATTGGACTTGTATAACCAACTACTTTGCGTTTTCAGACCAGGTACGTACCATCTCTTCAAGTACAACTGTAATACCTTCACAGAGGAGCTCAGCAATTTCCTGGTGGGCAAGGGCATTCCCAAATATATTCTTGATCTACCAGAAGAAATATTACAAACGTATGTCTTATTATCTAATTATTGTTATTATTTAATATCTAATATTAAATTCGAGAAATACATACTTTTCAACTTATTTTTAAATGAGAGATGTTCCGATTTATTTTTAGACCTATCGGGCAGGCTTTAAGTCCATTGATAGAAACATTAAGTAGTAACGCGAGTGCTGGATTCACAGTCGGTCAGAGATTTGTCGAGGCGAGAATCCAAAGGGAAGCTTCGCCAGAGTATCAACTCCTGAACACAGCCATTGAAGAAGCAAGGTATTGATTCGTATGTCAATCAATTCTAAGATTATTATTTAAATTTTGCTATTTTACAATAATTTTAACACAGGTTGAATTCGATCGCGTTAGAAGAACGGAGGAACGTCATTAACGAGAAGCTAGCAAAGAAAGATCGGAAAAAGAAAAAGAAGAAGAAGGAAAAGAAGGAAAAGGGCAGTAAAGAGACCACAGGCAGCGACAGCAACAGTACCGGTCCAAGCAATTGTTGTGCAGATATGGCGGAACATGAAAGTACGTGATTTTAGCAGGAATAAATTATGTTTAGTTCTATCTCATGACGCAATTATTTCATACTTCGATATAGTATTAATATTTAGTGGACACTAATAAAGAGCTATATAGATATATTTTTTTATATAAACTCCCAAATAATTTTGAATTACGAAAATAAATTTTCATGTTTGTTTCTTAGATGCGGTCGGTGGGACGCAGCAGCAGACGGCTAATGGAGAAAATGCGGAGATGCTACCGTCAGAGCGAGTAATGCAGATGGAGGAAGATGAAAAGCGTGAGCAAGAAGAAAAAAAACGCTATCGAGATCCACCAATAGTATTCAAGGATTTGGTGAACGTACAGGCAGAATATGAAGGTTTGATAAGTGCCTTGGAGGGAAAGTTAAATGATGAAGAGCGAACATGCATGGACGAATTGCGACAATACGTTTTAGAGAATGAGGGTTCCTGGGCTCTAGGTGACAACTTCCTGAATTTCGTAGGTAAGTGATTAACGTAATGCAAATATATGTAGCTCTCAAGTTTCTCAACATCCTTCAAAGTTTGATTTAAAAGAACATGTTAAAGTTTAAATAAATTAAAATGTTTAAATTTGAATTTTTATTTAGAAAAATTAAAAGAGGAGATTCTCGATTTTTATCTTTGCTTTTAAAAAACAATATAAAAATATATATTTCATTGACTTATTAATTAATTAGGTCGAGTTCTTTATGATAAATCGTTGGACAGTAACGCGCGAATAAAACTGTTAAACGTACTATCAGTCGCCGCACTGAAGGACGATGTTATCCTGTTATTGCATCAAGATAGGCGAGAACACATCATCATGAATTATGCTTATGATATCGACCGGCATCCACAGGAGGAGCAACTTCCACTCGCGCAGTTTGTAAGTAAAAAAATGGATTTATTATGTCAAAAAATATAAAAAAATTTCAATATAATTATTTTCTTGTGTGAACAATAGCTTGCTAACTTTATAAAATTTAAAAAAATCTTAATTGTGATAATTATAAATATTGGATTATTGAGATGAACTATATTATATACTTAATTTTATTATATACTTAATTTTAATTGTTTTACGCAGTTGGCGAACATGTTTGAGAACCTCAGCAGTTCGGAATGGTTACTTTATATATCCGAATGGCAGCATCAGAATCAAAGCATTAGCAACATAAGGGTAACAACCAAAGTTGCAGTGCACTCGTTGCTCTCAAATTCCGAAGACCTACAGATTCGCGGCGCCGCCATCATTCACAATCTTGCCTGCAAGGAGGTAAAAACTGTGGTCTGTATCCTTGCCATCCGATTAACATTCTCACTCATCTCTCGCCGATTCTCGCTTTCATTTTCATAACCCGCAAGCGCCTCGCGCATCAGAGGTATCTTGAAAATTTCAATTTTATAATTCTTTAATTTATTTTTTAATTTAATTAAATTAGAATTACAAATCTGTACATTTTATGTACATTAAATTTCTACATTGAAGTTTTTGTATATTTTACTCATACAAACTTGAAATGGAACTATCACATTGAAAAAGATATATGAACCGGGACTTTTTAAATTATTTCCTTCGATGCGCTATTTCATTTGTAATGCCGCTTTTGGAATGCGTGCTTGCCGGTATCGTAGGAAAAGTATAAGTGACGCTCGTATGTCCTAAGATAGAAGTGCTGCCTTTATTAATAAAAAAAACACACACATAAAAATTAGCTCTATAAATTTCTGTCGATGCGATCGTCAACATGGACGCCTCATCGTCTGCTGATAATCTTATTTCACGAACGAGCAAAAAGTAAAAAGAATGAGAATTTCATATTTGTCATTAATAAAAAAGAATAATTCAAAAGATATCATATGTCTCACTCAATGCTCGTTTGCATGCGCACTAGAACTTGAAGCTCTCTAATTGAGGCAGCGAGTACCGCTGCGTATGACGGATATCTTTCCAGAAATCGGATACTGTTTTTTCAGAAAATGAACAAAAGCAAAAATCTGCGGCGACTTTTACCGAAAGGCAGCATTTCTAAGGTACCTATCCAAATCCATGTTAGATCAAATCGTGCGCTGCGGTAAGTCGTCAATTATTATCGGTGTGTTGCGCCGTAATCGCGCAATCGATTTCTTAACATGCGAGTGTTCGATAATGTTTTGATTATTATACATATATGTATATGCTAATCCCTACCAGATCCTGCAGAGGGTTTGAAATGACAGTGAACTCTCAAACTGTCTATTAAAAATTACGTCAAATCGCAATCTTAAATTTGACATAACATTATACGGTTCCATGAAAATGTAGAAATAAATTGTGAAAACAGCATATAATTATTTTATATCACTGAGAAAAATAAAGATTAATTTTTAAATTAATTTTGAAATATTCGTATTTTTCCGCAAACATTTAAATTGCAATTCGATGATCATTAGCTTGTGCAATTCAATGATGATTAGCTTGTGTCAACATTGCGTCGCAACAATAGTTTTTTTCATCTTGCACAAATGTAACATATGATATTATTCTTATATATATTCTAACGTAATGCGTAAACCGTAGGTGTTCGACGATGTTGCCGTGGAACTAACGATGGCGTTGCTACAATACTTCAATGGCAGTCCCGCGGAGGAACAGTTGTATGCATGCATGAAATCACTCGCGCGTTTCACGCAGATCAGTGGTCAAGAGGTGCCGCAGCTTATACAAATGATTGGACCTGAACCGAACAAATTCAGGGGAACTTCTCAGAGGATCGACGAGCAAATCGATCAAGTCAACAAGAAGCTGCGCTAAATATCCGTTGACTGTTCATAAAAATTATTGTATTCCAGGCGCGAAATAAAAATAGGATGCGCTTGCGTTACGTTTAAAATGAATTTTTATTTAAAGATTCTAGATCAGCAGCTATATTATTGTATTATTATTAATTATTGTTGTCATTTTAATATTATTATATGAGTATTATTATATATGATACGTTACCATTATTATATTATGCGACACATTATGACATTTTTTTCAATCTCCTTTTCACTTTTTTATTCGATAATGCACATCTTATTCGACAAAGCATATTTTCTTCTTATAGAAAATTTAAGATAGTGACGCTTTACTGTTCTATAAAATAGATAGAAAGAAAATTTATTGTTGCGTTGTATATGGCGCTATATGTACGAGATATCTCTCGATATCTTTTTTCCAAATGACAGCATTTGAAATTCAACCCAACAAAATCTCCAAACTAGCTGTATCGAATAACACGTGGAATAGCACGTATTCTTGTATCATGACAGTTATACACGCGTTATATTCCATGAATTATACTTTTAGTCTTTACGCAACGATTTTTTGTGGAGAAGATACAATAAAATTTTATCAATGACAGTGATTTTCTTTGTTTCGATCCTAGAAAACACACAGAAATTTCAGAGCATTTGCCAAAATTAGATTATGCTTGTCTTATCTAATAAGACAATCGTAAGAGAATTAAAAAGCTAGAATGTGCGACATTAAGTTGTCATTTGTTGTTAGTCTTACATCAAGGTATTAGTCAGTTGTTGTTAGTCTTACATCAAGGTCTTTAGTGCTCGTCGTACGCGGTCTTATCAAACTGTCAACTCTGCACAATATAAAACTGAGATTTCTATACCGTTTATATTGAGATTTAAGAAAGATGTGTCGTGATAAGATTTGAAGCAACAGAATGCAAGAGCGCTGCCAGTATTACACAATAAGTGAATTTATCAGATTCGATATTAAAGCCCGCTTCGATCATAAAATAGTGAAATAATCGACTGATTTCTTAATATTTTATTTCGTTCAACGCGATGTCTGTATCTACAAAGATTTCCAACGAAGAATGTTCGTTACCAATGCCGGAACGAAAGTCATCCTTCAGTATAATTGCTAAATATGTACCGGTGCTCGGCTGGCTACCCCGATACACTCGAATGGAAGCTGTGTCAGATTTCATAGCTGGTATTACTCTGGGTTTGACCATGATACCCCAGAGTATAGCCTACGCGGCATTAGCCGGTCTAACTGCACAGGTATTTTGTAACTTGTTGACTTTGTTTTTCCTGCTCGTTTGATTCGTATTAATAATAAAATAATAGCTATTCTAATTGGAATATTCCGTATATTTAATAATTATAAAATGATTAAAATCGATAAATTAATAACATTCCAATTTATTTAATATATCAATTATATTATTTGCCTTCGCTTATTAATATTTACATAAATTACGAATTGAAAATATAGATAAATAAGAAAACATTTTTATAATAAGAATACATTTTTTTTATTTAAAATTTTTGAGATCATAAATGGGGATCTTTCTTTCGAATTGTTATTGCTTTTTAAAAGCTAAAATTATTTTAAAATGTTTTAAATATTTTTATTAGAGTGCAACACTATTACAATTCTTGTGTGTTACTATTACAATTCTTGTGTTATAAGAATACCACATGATAAATAATATTTTCAGTATGGCTTATATTCTTGTTTCGTGGGCGGTTTCTTATATATCTTCTTTGGGACCATTAAAGAAGTCTCAATTGGTCCATCGTCTTTGATGGCTCTTGTGACATTACAATATACGCGGGACATGCCGATTGATTTCATGGTACTCTTGTGTTTTCTGGCTGGATGCGTGGAATTTTTGATGGGCATATTTAATTTAGGCTGGTATCACGAAATTATCTATTGTAATTAACTAATCGCTGATCACTAAATTACACATACAGAAATTTTTATTTTTATTTTCACATATTTTTTGCTTCATTATAGTTTTTTTATTATAGTTTTTTTTATTTCATTGTAAACAATAAATGCATTAGTCTACCATAATAGTTATATAATAGTTATTGATGTAATTTTTACTGTAGGATGTATGGTAGATTTCATATCAGTTCCCGTTACATCTGGTTTTATTTCGGCAACGTCGGCCATTATAATTATCTCTCAGCTTCAAGGGCTTTTTGGATTAAAATATAAATCAGTTAATATTGCAGACAATTTGTACAAATTATTTAAAAATATTACTAAGACTCAACTAGGCGACATCACACTTGGAATCTGTAGCATCATATTTCTTCTGATCTTCAGAGTGAGTTTCGGAATTATAAGCGGATAATTTATAGCAATCTTAGATTCATAATTCCATTTTTAGAAATTGAAAGACATCGATTGTTCTTGTGCGAGAGACAAGAAAAACCCTGTCAAAAATGCAACGGTAAAGAAGATATTTTGGTACTTGTCTATTAGTCGAAATGCTCTCATCGTATTTATAACGACAACAATAGCTTATCGATGCGAAGCAACAGGATCCGCTCCGTTTAGGCTTTCAGGTTTCGATTTACTTATATATTTTATTTATAATCTCATTGTCGATAATCGATTCATCGAGTAAATGTAACAGCTCATGACTTTTTAGCGATAAAATTAATAACTACCATGAATTAAAATATCTGTCATATTTAATAGTCATAGTAAAATTATTAAAATCGATAAATTGATATTATTAGTCTCCAATTTACTCGATATATCAATTACATTATTTGCCGCTTTTATTCTTATCCCTTATTTATCCATAAAAAAGTTTTGCCGCATCTTAATACTTTTATCTTACAGGACAAATAAAATCTGGTCTTCCTACAGTATCGTTACCGCCTTTCTCAGTGCAAGTTGGAAATCAAACTTACACATTTCTGGACATGTGCGCTCATTACGGATCCGGAATAGTGATACTTCCCCTTATATCAATCTTAGCGAACGTGGCGATAGCCAAAGCTTTTGGTATCGACTATTTCTCAATTTCAAATCAAGCATATTATCTATATTTTTTTATGTTTCTTTCCCATTCTCTTTACCCCTTTCTCCTTCTCTTTCAATTGCATAAAATCAAAGTTTAAAAATTTGCAATACCTGTTATAAAATATTTCTCACAATTTACATTTTACAATAATAAATACATTAATAAATAAATACATTTTACAATAATTACTAAAATACATCATGTGAAATAATGAGATAGAAAAGGAGAAAAAATTGTCGGACTGTAATATTAGATACATCACAGAAATCTTTTTCTCGTAAAATTTCGTATAAAAATGAATTTTTAATGAGATAATTGCTGAATGTCTTCAGATTTAATTTATCCATGTTTAATTGATTTTATAAATATTGACAATATAAAAATATAGCGATGGGTGCCGCCGTTAATGCGACGCAGGAGATGCTGACACTTGGTCTCTGTAACATATTCGGCAGTTTCGTATCATCGATGCCTACCACCGGTGCATTCACACGAAGCGCAGTCGGTAGCGCCAGCGGCATACAAACCCCTATGGCCGGCTTATATTCCGGTAATATAATGTCAATCATTTAATACGTTTAAGAACGGAGGATATTAAAAATATAAAAAATAAGACATTTCTTTCCTTCGCAGCAACCATGACATTATTGGCTCTGAGTTTTTTAACACCGTACTTTAGTTACATTCCTCGCGCAACGCTATCAGCGGTGCTGATAACCGCTGTAGTGTTCATGATCGATGTGAAGATTTTTAAATTGCTCTGGAAGGGACACAGTCAGTATTGCAATATCTCCGTGTAGACAAATTGATCTAAATGAAGAGGAAATATACACTTATCTAATTTTTTTTTCTTTTTTTTCTAGAAACGGATGCTATCGCGGCGGTAGGCACCTTCTTAATCTCTGTTTTTATCAGTGTCGAGATTGGGCTGCTTCTCGGTATCTTTTTCAGTCTAATCTTCTTCATTCGACCGACTGCGAGACCGACGCTTGAAGTCATCAAGTGTAAGGTAAAAATTGCGAGGAACTTATGATGTTTCGCGTACATGCAATGTGTCGATGTAAAATACAATAAACTCACACATATAATATATTCTGTTAAATAATTATTATAATTGATATTCATCTATTTTTACAGACTCATTTAGGAAATAGATATGTAATGTTGAAGCCCGATATATGTCTCTATTATCCCGCAGTAAATTTTTTCTGCGATAAAATAATGAGTACAGCCAGAAACGAACAAGATGATGTTTCATTGATTCTAAATTGCGAAAGATTCACTAGTCTTGATTACACTTCAATCAAGGTATCGGCTATCGTTTATGAATGAAATCGATAAATAATTTCTTAACGATTCATGAATGTATTGACTCTCACTCAAAATATATAATATTTATGACAGGGTATCGAAACGCTATCGAAACGATTGAATCTTGAAAGAAATCGATTTTGGTTGTTGCATCTTAATTCCGATGTCATGGAGACTTTAAACATTCTTGCCGACAATAAATATATTCGTCTGATAAAAAATGAAGACAGCATCGTAGATATTCTTCAAGGTACGTGTGAGTTATGTAGTAATTAGAGAGAATGTTAACTGGCGTAATAATTACTCTAATTATACTGCATACATGGATGAGATATAATATTTAAACTATAATAATCTACCTAAAGAAAAAGAAAATAAATCGTAAACAAATTGTAACTAAATCTATTACATTCATCTTTTAGACGACGCATTATCTGATAAAGAACCTGAAGATTCAATTAATATTGTTATAAACAAAGCAATGGAAATGAAAAAATTGGATCATGAAGATTTCTCATATTCATCTTTGCGACAAAAGGATTCCGAATCTAATGCTGAAGAAATGATTTTATTGTCTCCATCCGAGTCAAAAATATAACAATAATTGTATTTGCTACTCTATCTTAATTAAATTTAATCTATATTTGCGTAAATATTATGCATGATTTTAATTAGACAATGCTGTTAAAAACAAATTTCACAAAACGTTTACCAAAATCTAACTAAATGTAATTTAGCGAAAAATTTTATAATTGATATTTAATAAAATTTATCTAGAATAGATTTTGTTATCAACGATACTGATAACAGTAATGGGTACTTATATATTTTGAAAAATCCGCTGTATGCTAACGTTCTCTCAGGAAATATAACGTCAAAGTAAGAAATAATAAGCATAATTGATAACAACAGAGAAGAAAATTATTATTATATCGGTATATATATGATCGTAGAAGATTTTTGTTGTAAAAAATTATTATTTATTATATTGTTTCGGAAACATCAAGATCATTAATAAGAAAAATCACGATTTTGGAAATATTTTATATAGTAATACAAGTATTAATATTTTTAGAATTTATAAAGTATTACTGTGATTATTTCGCGATCGGTCATGTAAAATGTCCCACGTATTTATAGTAATTAATCGTGTATGAGTCTAAGTGCTACAAAAAAATAACGAAGAATGTATAAGAGAGAAAAAAAGAAGTTTGAAAAAACATTGGACAACATATGGAGAACACACATACATAGAGGTAAGTAATTTATAAAAATTATTTATTATATTTATATATTATTTTTAATAAAATGAATTAATGAATTAATTGTTTAATAAATAATCGCGCAATGAATTCGAACAAAACAGTAATGCGAGAAACTTCGTCAAATTCCTTTTCTAAACGCGATTGATTTGAAAAGTACATTGAGAAATAATTTCATATGATTAATACTTAATTTCATATATGTTAAATAATACATAAAATTACGTCGCGATGATAGATCTCGGAGTGCATATTTTTCGATGTATACAATTTAATCGAGAATCGATTAAATGATAGGAATCCAAAATATTAAATAATCACTTCGATCGTTTTGATCTTTATGGACGATAATTATTATTTTAATACTTAGAGTCAAATATATTTCATCCATGTTACTTTATCATTCTACAATCAAAATATAATTTGGATTATGAAAGAATACGAAGTAAAACAATCGAATTGTAGATGCAAATAATTAGTATAACAGTATAACGTAAGGTTCCGTGATAAATTGTTTAATAAATAATCAATTTTAATCAATAAATTAAAATACTTCTATAATTTAATATTCCGCGTTAATGTATATTTTATAATATATAAAATATTTCGGCAACGTGTTATCGATAACACGGTGTTCAATTTTGACAATATAAAATGTAAACAGTAGCGCGCTATGTTATGACTTTGTCATCATTCGCACGGTGACTCTCAAGTAATAAAGTAGTGGTGCGAAACGCTTCGTATTATAATTTTTTTACTAAATATGATTACGATTAGAATCGAAATTTAATGTACTATAAATATTAATTAAAAATTAATTAACTTTTGCTAAACATGAAACTATCGTAACAATAAATTTTTATCGAATCGCAAACATTCATTACCGCGAATAAAAACTGAAAGGAAATACATAAAAGGGAGTAAGAGAATTAAATATGTTATGATCTTTCGATCACATTGATGCTTATTATAAAAATATTTCCTTAATAATATTAGAATTAAATAATATTTCGATTACTGCTTTAAATTTTCTCAATCCTTGTTAATTAAACAATATACAATTTAATCGAGGATCGATTAAAATGATAGAAATCCAAAATATTAAATAATAACTTCGATCGATTCGATTTTTACGGACAATAATTATTACTTTAATACTTAGAGTCAAAAATATATTTTATTCGTGTTACTTTATCGTTCTATTTGACAATCAAAATATAATTTGGATTATGAGAGAACACGAAATAAAACAATCAAATTACAGATCCAAATAATTAGTATAACGTAAGGTTCCGTGATAAATTGTTTAATAAATAATCAATTTTAATCAATAAATTAAAATACTTCTATAATTTAATATTCCGCGTTAGTGTATATTTTATAATATATAAAATATTTCGGCAACGTGTTATCGATACCACAGTGTTCGACTTTGGCAATATAAAATATAAGCAGTAGCGCGCTATGTTATGATTTTGTCATCATTTGCACGGTGACTCTCAAGTAATAAAGTAGTCGTGCGAAACGCTTCGTATTATAATTTTTTTACTAAATATGATTACGATTAGTATCGAAATTTAATGTACTATAAATATTAATAATTAAAAATTAATTAACTTTTGCTAAACATGAAACTGCTCCTAACAATAAATTTTTATCGAATCGCAAACATTCATTACCGCGAATAAAAACTGAAAGGAAATACATAAAAGGGAGTAAGAGAATTAAATATGTTATGATCTTTCGTTCACATTGATGCTTATTATAAAAATATTTCCTTAATAATATTAGAATTAAATAATATTTCGATTACTGCTTTAAATTTTCTCAATCCTTGTTAATTAAACAATATACAATTTAATCGAGGATCGATTAAAATGATAGAAATCCAAAATATTAAATAATAACTTCGATCGATTCAATTTTTACGGACAATAATTATTACTTTAATACTTAGAGTCAAAAATATATTTTATTCGTGTTACTTTATCGTTCTATTTGACAATCAAAATATAATTTGGATTATGAGAGAACACGAAATAAAACAATCGAATTATAAATACAAATAATTAGCATAACGAAAGACTTCATGACCAGTAATTTAATAAATAATCAATTAATCTTAATCAATAAATTAAAATACCTCTATAATTTAATATTCGTCGCGCAAATATTTTATATTACAGAAAATATTTCGGCAACGAGAGAATGATCAATAACACCGTGTTCGATCTTGATAAACAGTATCGCGCTGTTGTTAATATGTGACACGGCTTTATTATCATTCGCACAGTAGTTGAGTAGTGACGAGAGAGATGTTTCACATATTATCAAATTCCTTCTTCACATAACTTTGACGATATAAACAGTACTGTGAGTTGTAATGTTTCTGACTTACGATCATTCGGTCAATGACTCTCGAGCAGTGAGGTACTGATGTGAGACGTTCCATTATATTATCAAATTCTTTCTCTAACTACAATTGCGAGTGCAACGAGGAACTTTTCATGAATGAGTGTAAGTGCAACGTGAAATTCAAATGACTGCAACCAGAATTGAAGTGCCACGAGGACAGAGTAAAAAAAAAGAAAAAAAGAAGGTCTTGGAAATGGATGGATCAATAAGATGTAAATAATTAATATTTTTATAAGTTATAATATTTATATAGTATAATACAAAATTAATTATATATTATATTATATATAAAATTATATATAATATAACCCTCCCATGGGGTACACCTTGTCGCGGTGGGAGGGCTTAGTACTTGGATGGTGCCTTGAGGTTTATTTTAAATTTTTCAATTTATGTTAAATCTTAAGGTGCCTGAATAGGAAGCTAAGTACCCTTTCGCGTCGTCGGTGCCGTCAACGTGCCGCGGACGGCAAGCGCTTCAATATCGCGTTTTCGCGTTGTGATATTTTCGCGTCGTCGCGTTTTCGCGGAACTTTTGGACTTTATTTTTATATAATTTTTAATCGCATCGAAATAGTGCGGGAGTGCCGTTCAGTATCGCGCGTAAAATAACGAAAATAGCGATATAAAAATATCGCTCGTGAGTGCGGGAGTGTCGTTAAGTATCGCGCGTCTAAAACTGAGAGGAGGAGGAGGCCTAGGAGAGGCATCGGGCTCCGGCAGAGCAACCTTCTGGTAAGCAATTTATTTATTTGTAATTATATATTAAATATTAAATATATTTAGTATAATTTAAATTAAACAATTAATCGCAACAATTAATTTGATATTTTTATTTATATTTAAATAAGAGAGAATTAGAAAAAGATTTTTAAATGAAAGCTATAATCTTGTAAAGGTGTAAGCTTTTATAAAGTTATAAGAGAATTATTAGTAATGTTCTTTAAAATTTATAGAATTATTGTATTAATCTACTATTATTATATGCATCGAATACAAAATTCAATGTATACAATAATTTTTGAAATATTAATTATTTTGAACGCTACTACATTAGAATCTTCTTTTGTTTGTTATAGATCGATGCGAGAACCCTGATGATGCAACAATCCTGATGATCTGAGAGGAGGAGCAGGCCTAGGAGAGGCATCCTGCACCAGCGGAACAACCTGATGGTGAATATTTATTATTTATATATCTACTGTTAAAAATCGTACACACAATAATACGGTTTTATTATTTAAATGAATTAAAGAAAAATTAGAAAGATTTTTATAAAAGTTATATAAAAGTTTCTATATATGTATTTAAAAGATGGTTTCAGAATTTATTCAGAATTTAAAATTTTTCCATACATGTTTACAACTGCTTATTATTTTACACCGGATATGAAATTCCGCATAATAATATTTTTTTGAAATATCGATTTTGAGTATTGTTATAAATGAATTTTATATTTGTATGTTACAGACAACGAGCTTCGATAACAACTCCGCTGTTGCGCATCAGTGCCGGTGAGTGAACAAAAACTTTTTACTTTAAAGTAACGGATTCGTAGAGATTGTAGATGTAGATGTAGATGTAGATTGTAGATTGTAGATTGTAGGTAAATCCGTTGCTTTAAAATGGATGAGTTAAGATAGATTGAATTAAATAAATATTTTATAAATTCTTTCGAAATGCTTTGCATTTATTGCAAAAATATATTTAAATATTAATTAAAAAAAGAAAATCAAGAAAAGATTATTTTTATAAAGATTTTGTCTAATTTATTAAATAAAGAACACACATTAATATTTTTATCAATTTTATTAATTTTTAATGCTACTTTATTCTTATAATGAGTACTCATCTTCTAATTTCTTATTCATCGTAGCTCATCCATCGTAAAATTTGTTTCTAGATATTATTTTTAAACTTTACTTTAACTTAAGATAAAGCCAAATGATTCATTAATTAAATAAATTGTAATATGATAAATGTTATACACACTTTAATTTTATATTTTATTATAAATTATATATTACTATAAATATTTACTAATTATATATATTATTA